TCGTCCCGACCCTAGTAAAGAGACTGGTATTGTCCCGGCCCTAGTAAAGATGCTGGTATCATCCAGTAAAGAGACTGGTATCGTCCCTGCCCTAGTAAAGATACTGGTATCGTCCCGGCCCTAGTAAAGAGACTGGTATCGTCCCGGCCCTAGTAAAGATGCTGGTATCGTCCCGGCTCTAGTAAAGATGCTGGTATCATCCAGTAAAGAGACTGGTATCGTCCCTGCCCTAGTAAAGAGACTGGTATCGTCCCTGCCCTAGTAAAGAGACTGGTATCGTCCCAGCCCTAGTAAATATACTGGTATCGTCCCAGCCCTAGTAAAGATGCTGGTATCATCCAGTAAAGAGACTGGTATCGTCCCGGCCCTAGTAAAGAGACTGGTATCGTCTCGGCCCTAGTAAATATGCTGGTATAGTCCCGGCCGTAGTAAAGATGCTGTTATCGTCCAGCAAAGATTCTGGTATCGTCCCGGCCCTAATAAAAATATGCTGGTTCGTCCCGGCCCTAGTAAAAATACTGGTAACGTCCCGGCCCTAGTAAAGATACTGGTATCGGCCCAGCCCTAGTAAATATACTGGTATCATCCCGACTCTAGTAAAGATGCTGGTATCGTCCGGTAAAGATGCTGCTGGGATCGTCCAGTAAAGATACTGGTATCGTTCCGGCCCTAGTAAAGATGCTGGTATCATCCAGTAAAGAGACTGAATATCGTCCCTGCCCTAGTAAAGAGACTGGTATCGTCCCTGCCCTAGTAAAGAGACTGGTATCGTCCCGGCCCTAGTAAAGATGCTGGTATCATCCAGTAAAGAGACTGGTATCGTCCCTGCCCTAGTAAAGAGACTGGTATCGTGCCTGCCCTAGTAAAGACACTGGTATCGTCCCGACCCTAGTAAAGAGACTGGTATTGTCCCGGCCCTAGTAAAGATGCTGGTATCATCCAGTAAAGAGACTGGTATTGTCCCTGCCCTAGTAAAGATACTGGTATCGTCCCAGCCCTAGTAAAGAGACTGGTATCGTCCCGGCCCTAGTAAAGATGCTGGTATCGTCCCGGCCCAAGTAAAGACGCTGGTATCATCCAGTAAAGAGACTGGTATCATCCCTGCCCTAGTAAAGAGACTGGTATCGTCCCAGCCCTAGTAAAGATACTGGTATCGTCCCAGCCCTAGTAAAGATGCTGGTATCATCCAGTAAAGAGACTGGTATCGTCCCGGCCCTAGTAAAGAGACTGGTATCGTCCCGGCCCTAGTAAAGATGCTGGTATCGTCCCGGCTCTAGTAAAGATGCCGGTATCATCCAGTAAAGAGACTGGTATCGTCCCTGCCCTAGTAAAGAGACTGGTATCGTCCCTGCCCTAGTAAAGACACTGGTATCGTCCCGACCCTAGTAAAGAGACTGGTATCATCCCTGACCTAGTAAAGAGACTGGTATCGTCCCTGCCCTAGTAAAGATGGCTGGTATCGTCCCTGCCCTAGTAAAGAGACTGGTATCGTCCCAGCCCTAGTAAAGATGCTGGTATCGTCCCAGCCCTAGTAAAGATACTGGTATCATCCCTGCCCTAGTAAAGAGACTGGTATCGTCCCAGCCCTAGTAAAGATGCTGGTATCGTCCCAGCCCTAGTAAAGATGCTGGTATCGTCCCGACCCTAGTAAAGATACTGCTATCATCCCTGCCCTAGTAAAGAGACTGGTATCGTCCCAGCCCTAGTAAAGATGGCTGGTATCGTCCCTGCCCTAGTAAAGATGTTGGTATCGTCCCAGCCCTAGTAAAGATACTGGTATCGTCCCGACCCTAGTAAAGATGGCTGGTATCGTCCCGGCCCTAGTAAAGATGCTGGTATCGTCCCAGCCCTAGTAAAGATACTGGTATCGTCCCGACCCTAGTAAAGATGCTGGTATCGTCCCGACCCTAGTAAAAATGCTGGTATCGTCCCGGCCCTAGTAAAGATGGCTGGTATCGTCCTGGTTCTAGTAAAGATACTGGTATCGTCCCGGCCCTAGTAAAGATGCTGTTATCGTCCCGGCCCTAGTAAAGATGGCTGGTATCGTCCTGGTTCTAGTAAAGATACTGGTATCGTCCCGGCCCTAGTAAAGATACTGGTATCGTCCCGGCCCTAGTAAAGATGGCTGGTATCGTCCCGGTCCTAATAAAGATACTGGTATCATCCCGACCCTAGTAAAGATGCTGGTATCGTCCCGACCCTAGTAAAGATGGCTGGTATCGTCCCGGTCCTAGTAAAGATACTGGTATCGTCCCGACCCTAGTAAAGATGGCTGGTATCGTCCCCGGTCCTAGTAAAGATACTGGTATCGTCCCGACCCTAGTAAAGATGGCTGGTATCGTCCCGGTCCTAGTAAAGATACTGGTATCGTCCCGACCCTAGTAAAGATGGCTGGTATCGTCCCGGTCCTAGTAAAGATACTGGTATCGTCCCGACCCTAGTAAAGATGCTGGTATCGTCCCGACCCTAGTAAAGATGGCTGGTATCGTCCCGGTCCTAGTAAAGATACTGGTATCGTCCCGACCCTAGTAAAGATGGCTGGTATCGTCCCGGTCCTAGTAAAGATGCTGGTATCGTCCCGACCCTAGTAAAGATGGCTGGTATCGTCCTGACCCTAGTAAAGATGGCTGGTATCGTCCCGGTCCTAGTAAAGATACTGGTATCGTCCCGACCCTAGTAAAGATGGCTGGTATCGTCCCGGTCCTAGTAAAGATACTGGTATCGTCCCGACCCCAGTAAAGATACTGGTATCGTCCCGACCCTAGTAAAGATACTGGTATCGTCCCGACCCTAGTAAAGATACTGGTATCGTCCCGGTCCTAGTAAAGATACTGGTATCGTCCCGACCCTAGTAAAGATACTGGTATCGTCCCGACCCTAGTAAAGATACTGGTATCGTCCCGACCCTAGTAAAGATACTGGTATCGTCCCGACCCTAGTAAAGATGGCTGGTATCGTCCCGGTCCTAGTAAAGATACTGGTATCGTCCCGACCCTAGTAAAGATGCTGGTATCGTCCCGGTCCTAGTAAAGATACTGGTATCGTCCCGACCCTAGTAAAGATGCTGGTATCGTCCCGGTCCTAGTAAAGATACTGGTATCGTCCCGACCCTAGTAAAGATGCTGGTATCGTCCCGGTCCTAGTAAAGATACTGGTATCGTCCCGACCCTAGTAATCATGCTGGTATCGTCCCGACCCTAGTAAAGATGGCTGGTATCGTCCCGACCCTAGTAAAGATACTGGTATCGTCCCGACCCTAGTAAAGATACTGGTATCGTCCCGACCCTAGTAATCATGCTGCCCATGTGTGAAGTAATCTGTAACTAGACAGTCACAGTTTCTTAGGGATACCATGCCTGCCAGTAAGACTCCATAGTTGTTTAGTCAGTAACCCATTGATCTGGCTACCCTTTCTTTCACAACATGTTTTTATAGGCCTAAGTATCGTTGATTTTTTAGTTTTTTACCATGTGCAATTTTCTATGGTTTTCGGTCCCTTTGAGCTGATGAAACACAGGATCTGAAGAGCCTTTTTATTCAGGTAGCAAGGAAGGCGTGGTAGTTGATTTACTGGTCACTATGACTACCCCCTGACTACACCCGACTACACCATGACAACCCTGGCTGACTGCTCTGCTCCACACAACATTGAGCTCATTCATTGAACGCTCTTGCTGTCCTCTCTCTCCTCCCTCTCCCCTCTCTTCTCTTCTCTCTCTCTCCTCTTGCTCTCTCTCTCCTCGCCTCTCTTCTCTCTCTCTCATCTCCTCTCTCCCTCCTCTCTCTCCTCGCTCTCTCTCTCTCTCTCTCTCCCCTCCTCTCCATCTCTCTCTCTCCTCTCTCTCTTCTTTTCTCCTCTCTATCTCTCTCTCTCTCTCTCTCCCTTCTTACCCTTTCCTTTGACACCTGAGTTGGGGGTGTCTCCAGTCTACAGCCCTCCTCCAACCTTTGTCCCTTCCTCTGTCCTGGCTAACAGGTTTCCTGCAGCAGATAGGGCCTCCTCACTGGCTTGTGGAAGCAGCAGAGTGTTGGCGTTTGAGCAGGGCTTTATTTCATTACTGAGATACCAGGGCCGTAACATACCTCAGGCATGGAATGTTTATGGCGTTGTGCCAGAAACAGGGCACCTTTACATTCCTGTCCAATAAAGAGTGAGGAGGCCCTGCCTGCAGTGTTTCATGTTTCACAGAGAACAGAGAACAGACTAGTCTCTAATTTCAGTGGCCACTGTTTGGCATTAAGGAATTGGAGCAAATCCCCATTGACTTGAAGGGCGTATGCAAAATGAATAGTGAATTCTAATACTCCCCAAATGCAGGCAAAATGTTTTGCTCCAATAAATATTTGAGCTGTGTGAGCAGACTCTGCCGAGAGCACACCTTTCATTTGAAGGTTAACTGAGAACAGAAATGCTACAAATGAGTCATTCTAAAAACTACAGCAAAACTGATGCTGCAATAACGCTGTCCGTGAAAAGGAAAACGACTCTAGGCTGCTCTGTTGACATGTGACAGAACGTCTTGCAATGTGAAGGATTTCGCAGCACAGTAGTGACTAAAAGCTCACTGGAATATGGGTGTAGTCTCCAGATTAGTGTTCCGGAGTCCACCTCTGTTTCATTGAGATAATTCTGAAGCATTTTGTCAGTTGTGACAATGTAGTGAAGTGCAATACGCGAAGGAAACCTTATGTTGACGTTTGACAACAATCGCTATCAGATAACGTCTTAAATGAAAGTGAAAACAGTCAAGGTATTAGCATTAACAACACCAGGGCCCATATTCATAAAGCATCTCAAAGTAGGAGTGCTGACCTAGAGTCAGATTTGTGTTTTAGACCATAATTAGTAACATTACATGGACAGCGCGAGCCTGATCCTAGATCACCACTCCTAGTCCGAGACACTGTATGAATACAGGCCCTGATTGTCACTACGCAGGGTGAATAGCACTGAAGCGAGCTCTTGATGTGTTGGCTCTCTCATCCGGGCCATTGATCCCTCAATGTGTTTGCCTCTGCAGGTGGTTTTGCATTTGTGTATGAAGCCCAGGACACAAGCAGCAGTAAAGAATATGCTCTCAAGGTAAGCATTGATTTCCTTCACACACGTTTCTGCCCACACCTTGCTAACGTAGGCTGGTTTAGACAATGGTAGCGTCCCAAATGCCACCCTATTCCTTACATTTGACCAGCGCACATAGGGTGCAATTCGGGACACATTCATTGTTCTCTGTGTTTGTTAAATGGTGAAATATCTGCCGTGTGTGTGTGTGTGTGTGTGTGTGTGTGTGTGTGTGTGTGTGTGTGTGTGTGTGTGTGTGTCTGCAGAGGCTCCTGTCCCAGGAGGAAGAGAAGAACAAAGAAGTCATCCAGGAGGTCTGCTTCATGGTATCCTTTTGAGTGGTCTATGTTCATGGAAACGTCGGAACACTGAACGTTCCTCCTAGAGAACATCCTTTAGTCAAGAAACGCCTAATCTGTCTGTCTGACTTAATAATCATTTTTGATAAAACAGACCAATCTGAATAAAGTAGACAATATTCTTTAAAAGTTCCGGTGTTGGTGTCAAATGGCAATAGGCATTTGGCTCCTCATACATCCACATTCATGCCCCTAACCTCTGTCCCTAACCTTTTTAAAACAGCCCCATTCACTAACGCTTTATTTCCATTGGCATTTGGGGTCGAATGTGGCCCTAATTTTAAAGCGCCAATGGAAACGGGGCTTAAGTGACAACCCAGTTTGATATACCAACCGTCAGTTCCTTTTCTTTGACCTGAGTGCTCTACAGAAAAAGCTCTCTGGTCACCCCAACGTGGTGCAGTTCAGCTCCGCAGCGTCCATCGCCAAGGAGGAGTCGGACACAGGCCAGGCTGAGTTCCTCATTCTCACAGAGCTCTGTAAAGGTACTACAGACTCCTCTGTGTGGTGCCGATCCCTCTGTGGTGCCGACCCCTCTGGTGTGGTGCCGACCCCTCTGTGTGGTGCCGATCCCTCTGTGTGGTGCCGATCCCTCTGTGGTGCCGATCCCTCTGTGTGGTGCCGACTCCTCTGTGTGGTGCCGACTCCTCTGTGTGGTGCCGACCCCTCTGTGTGGTGCCGATCCCTCTGTGTGCCCGATCCCTCTGTTGGTGCCGATCCCTCTGTGTGGTGCCGACCCCTCTGTGTGGTGCCGACCCCTCTGTGTGGTGCCGACCCCTCTGTGTGGTGCCGACCCCTCTGTGTGGTGCCGACCCCTCTGTGTGGTGCCGACCCCTCTGTGGTGCCGACCCCTCTGTGTGGTGCCGACCCCTCTGTGTGGTGCCGACCCCTCTGTGTGGTGCCGACCCCTCTGTGTGGTGCCGACCCCTCTGTGTGGTGCCGATCCCTCTGTGTGGTGCCGACCCCTCTGTGGTGCCGACCCCTCTGTGTGGTGCCGACCCCTCTGTGTGGTGCCGACCCCTCTGTGTGGTGCCGACCCCTCTGTGTGGTGCCGACCCCTCTGTGTGGTGCCGACCCCTCTGTGTGTTGCCGACCCCTCTGTGTGTTGCCGACCCCTCTGTGTGTTGCCGACCCCTCTGTGTGGTGCCGACCCCTCTGTGTGGTGCCGACCCCTCTGTGTGGTGCCGACCCCTCTGTGTGGTGCCGACCCCTCTGTGTGGTGCCGACCCCTCTGTGTGTTTGCCGACCCCTCTGTGTGTTGCCGACCCCTCTGTGTGGTGCCGACCCCTCTGTGTGGTGCCGACCCCTCTGTGTGTTGCCGACCCCTCTGTGTGGTGCCGACCCCTCTGTGTGGTGCCGATGCCTCACAGTGAAGTCACAAAGCTGTTAGAGTACTTCTAGTGGAATAAAAACCCTGCCTAAGCTACATCCACACTATGTTTTCTGTTTCGCTGTGCGCAGCGCGAAGAGTAGGGCTGAAAACCAAGCCTAACTCTTTCTCTTTGTTCTTGAGCGTAATGTGGATGTAGCAATATCTTCCAGAGGCCTATTTTGGAGTGTGTATTGACAAGCCTGTATTACAGTTTATACTTCTCTGAATATGCCTGATGTTATCAAGCAAATGTATGCGCTATAGTCTTCTACTAATAAGCAATACCTTTAAGGCCGGTTTCCCATGCACAGATTGAGCCTAGTTCGGAACTAAAAAGCATTCTCAATAGAGATTTAAGATTCTCCATTGAAAGTGATTTTTTTGTCCAGGACTAGGCTTAATCTGTATCAGGGAAACTGCCCCATAATGGTTAGCCAGTGATTAGCAATTACTTTGACTGGTACTCTCCATGTTGCTGATCAGGCTCTTCCTGTCTGCCTCCCCCAGGTCAACTGGTGGACTTCATCAAGCGGGTGGAGCAGAAGGGACCCATGTCATGTGACACGGTGCTGAAGATCTTCTACCAGTCGTGTCGTGCAGTGCAGCACATGCACAAACAGAAGCCTCCCATCATCCACCGGGATCTTAAGGTGAGCAGTTCAAAGCCCAACTCTCCCTCTAATTTCCCCTAGGTACAGATCTAGGATCAGCGTCCCTTTCCCAATCCTGACCTTAACCATTAGTGGGGAAATGTAAAACTGACCCAAGATCAGTGTCTAGGGGGCAACATCACCCTACTTCCCCTCTCAACTCCTGCCATGGCCAGTACCTCTTCCCTCTTTACTATACCTGGTACTTCTCAGCACTACCTTCCTGTACACGTCCTGTGGTCTCATCCCACTCCCTTGAATAGTGTCCCCCTCTCCCCATTCTCCTGGGTTTTGACTAGACGGAGTACAGCTTTTGTCAAACTTGACCTTTTCGCAGCAGGTTAGGAGAACGTACGCAGCAGGTTAGGAGAACGTACGCAGCAGGTTAGGAGAACGAACGCAGCAGGTTAGGAGAACGAACGAAGCAGGTTGGGAGAACGAACGCAGCAGGTTAGGAGAACGAACGCAGCAGGTTAGGAGAACGAACGCAGCAGGTTAGGAGAACGAACGCAGCAGGTTAGGAGAACGAACGCAGCAGGTTAGGAGAACGAACGCAGCAGGTTAGGAGAACGAACGCAGCAGGTTAGGAGAACGAACGCAGCAGGTTAGGAGAACGAACGCAGCAGGTTAGGAGAACGTACGCAGCAGGTTAGGAGAACGTACGCAGCAGGTTAGGAGAATGAACGCAGCAGGTTAGGAGAACGAACGCAGCAGGTTAAGAGAACGTACGCAGCAGGTTAGGAGAACGAACGCAGCAGGTTAGGAGAACGTACGCAGCAGGTTGGGAGAACGTACGCAGCAGGTTAGGAGAACGAATGCAGCAGGTTAGGAGAACGTACGCAGCAGGTTAGGAGAACGTAGGCAGCAGGTTAGGAGAACGAACGCAGCAGGTTAGGAGAACGAACGCAGCAGGTTAGGAGAACGTACGCAGCAGGTTAGGAGAACGTACGCAGCAGGTTAGGAGAACGTACGCAGCAGGTTAGGAGAGCGAACGCAGCAGGTTAGGAGAACGAACGCAGCAGGTTAGGAGAATTGGTTAATGTTAGGAAAAGGGTTAGGGTTAGCAAAAATGCAAAAAAATCAACTTTTGACGTCAATTTGACATAAGCTGTATGCTATCTAGACATGACCATTCTCCTGTGGCCCGCTGTATGCTATCTAGACATGACCATTCTCCTGTGGCCCGCTGTATGCTATCTAGACATGACCATTCTCCTGTGGTCCGCTGTATGCTATCTAGACATGACCATTCTCCATGTAGGGCCGCTTGTATGCTATCTAGACTATGACCATTCTCCCTGTGGTCTCGCTGTATGCTTTCTAGATCATGCCATTGCTTCCCTGTGGCCAGCAGTATATGCATCTAGACCATGACCATTCTCCTTTGGCCCGCTGTATTGCTCATCTAGACATGAACCATTGCTCCATGTGGCCCGCTGTATGCTATCTAGACATGACATTCTCCTGTGGCCAGCTGTATGCTATCTAGACATGACCATTCTCCTCCTCTTCCAGTAAGACTTCCCTCCCTCCCTGCTCTACCACTGCCACACTTAACTTTCAGACAACTGTTTGTCAGACTTTTTTACGGTTTTTTTCGTTAATCAGTGATGAAACACCATTGTTATGTGTGTGCTGTGACTGCAGAGTGCTGATGTAGGCCTCCGTGTTCTCTGGAACCCCTCTACCCCTCCCGCGGCCCTCACACTCATTCTGTTTCCTGACTTTCTAGTGGACTCAGGCATTGTTTAAGTGTTTTGGAATGGGAACTGAGAACCAGGTCAAACCAGAGGCTATACATTTTGTGAATTGTTCGAGAAATGCTAGAGGAGCGGAGTTGACTCGATGCAATATTTTGATGTGCCCTGCTGTTTGACGGTACTCAAGTCTTTGATTTGAGGCTGATAAGCATCGTGAAAATAAAGCACAGTGGAAATAAACACCCTGCTTCTAAAGCACTGTGGAAATAAACACCCTGCTTCTAAAGCACTGTGGAAATAAACACCCTGCTTCTAAAGCACTGTGGAAATAAACACCCTGCTTCTAAAGCACTGTGGAAATAAACACCCTGCTTCTAAAGCGCTGTGAAAATAAACACCCTGCTTCTAAAGCACTGTGGAAATAAACACCCTGCTTCTAGAAGCACTGTGGAAAATAAACACCCCTGCTTCTAAAGCACTGTGGAAAATAACAACCCTGCTTCTAAAGCACTGTGGAAATACACACCCTGCTTCTAAAGCACTGTGGAAATAAACACCCATGCTTCTAAAGCACGTGGAAATAAACACCCTGCTTCTAAAGCACTGTGGAAATAAACACCCTGCTTCTAAAGCACTGTGGAAATAAACACCCTGCTCTAAAGCACTGTGGAAATTAAACACCCTGGCTTCTAAAGCACTGTGGAAATAAACACCCTGCTTCCTAAAGCACTGTGGAAAATAAAACACCTGTTCTAAAGACTGTGGGAAATAATCACCCTGCTTCTAAAGCACTGTGGAAATAAACCACCTGCTTCTAAAGGCACATGTGGAAATAAACACCCTGCTTCTAAAGCACTGTGGAAATAAACACCCTGCTTCTAAAGCACTGTGGAAATAAACACCCTGCTTCTAAAGCACTGTGGAAATAAAGGTATTGCTGCCTCTTGTCCTTGCTTTATTGATGTTTATCAGAATCACCTTTTTTCGCCAAATAGATTTACATCTTCCGTGAATTTGAATTGGTGAAATGGTGCTGACATCGCCTTACAACAAACAAAATACCCAGACCGAATATAGAAAAACAAATGTACACATCATCTACAATCTCATAATGAGCCACTGTCCTTCTGTCCGTCTCCTCCAGATTGAGAACTTGCTGATCAGTCACCAGGGCACCGTCAAGCTGTGTGACTTTGGGAGTTCCACCACGATAGCACACTATCCTGACTACAGCTGGTCTGCCCAGAAGAGGTCCATGGTGGAGGACGAGGTGATTTTGGAAACCCCCTGTCTGTGACCATGTTGTAGTACTGATTTACATTTAAGTCATTTAGCAGACGCTCTTATCCAGAGCGACTTACAAATTGGTGCATTCAACTTAGGATAGCCAGTGGGACGACTACATCTTGATCACAGTAAGTACACTTCTTCAAACAAGCAGCTGTGAGGGAAGTCAGTTAAATCAGGGACAACTACATCTCGATCACAATAAGTACATTTCTTTAAACAAGTCAGTGCTAGCAGGTGAAATAAGTCAGGTGTTAGTTTAGACAAAAGACAGTGGTAGTAAAGGGGGGGTAGAAGGATTACTATAATAATATTCCAGGTATTCCTTAAAGCGGTAGGGTTTCAAGTGTCTCCGGAAGGTGGTCAGTGACTCCACTGTCCTGGTGTCGTGGGGGAGCTTGTTCCACCATTGGGGTGTCAGAGCAGTGAATAGCTTTTACTGGGCTGAGCGGGAACTGTGCTTCCGTAGAGGTAGGGGGGCTAGCAGGCCAGAGGTGGATGAACGTAGTGCCCTCGTTTGGGTGTAGGGTCTGATCAGAGCCTGAAGGTAAGGAGGTGCCGTTCCCCTCACAGCTCCGTAGGCAAGCACCATGGTTTTGTAGTAGATGCGAGCTTCAACTGGAAGCCAGTGGAGTGTGCGGAGGAGCGGGGTGACGTGAGAGAACTTGGGAAGGTTGAACACCAGACGGGCTGCGGCATTCTGGATAAGTTGCAGGGGTTTAATGGCACAGGCAGGGAGCCCAGCCAACAGCAAGTTGCAGTAATCCAGATGGGAGATGACAAGTGCCTGGATTAGGACCTGTGCCGCTTTCTGTTTAAGGTAGGGTCGTACTCTGCAAATGTTTTAGAGCATGAACCTGCAGGATCGGGTCACCGCTTTGATGTTAGCAGAGAACGACAGGGTGTTGTCCAGGGTCACGCCAAGGCTCTTTGCACTCTGGGAGGAGGACACAATGGAGTTGTCAACCGTGATGGCAAGATCATGGAGCGGGCAGTCCTTCCCCGGGAGGAAGAGCAGCTCTGTCTTGCCGAGGTTCAGCTTGAGGTGGTGATCCGACATCCACACTGATATGTCTGCCAGACTTGCAGATATACGATTCGCCACCTGGTTATCAGAAGGGGGAAAGGAGAAAATTAATTGTGTGTCGTCTGCGTAGCAATGATAGGAGAGACCATGTGAGGATATGACAGAGCCAAGTGACTTGGTGTAAAGAGAGAATAGGAGAGGGCCTAGAACTGAGCCCTGGGGGACACCAGTGGTGAGAGCACGTGGTGCGGAGACAGATTCTCGCCACGCCACCTGGTAGGAGCGACCTGTCAGGTAGGACGCAATCCAAGAGTGAGCAGCGCCGGAGATGCCCAACTCGGAGAGGGTGGAGAGGAGGATCTGATGGTTTACAGTATCAAAGGCAGCGGATAGGTCTAGAAGGATAAGAGCAGAGGAGAGAGAGTTAGCTTTGGCAGTGCGGAGAGCCTCCGTGACACAGAGAAGAGCAGTCTCAGTTGAATGACCAGTCTTGAAACCTGACTGGTTAGGATCAAGAAGGGAATTCTGAGAGAGATAGCAGGAGAGTTGGCTAGGGATGGCACGCTCAAGAGTTTTGGAGAGAAAAGAAAGAAGGGATACTGGTCTGTAGTTGTTGACATCGGAGGGATCGAGTGTAGGTTTTTTGAGAAGGGGTGCAACTCTCGCCCTCTTGAAGATGGAAGGGACATAGCCAGCAGTCAAGGATGAGTTGATGAGCGAGGTGAGGTAAGGGAGAAGGTCTCCGGAAATGGTCTGGGGAAGAGAGGAGGGGATAGGGTCAAGCGGGCAGGTTGTTGGGCGGCCGGCCGTCACAAGTCGCAAGATTTCATCTGGGGAGACTAAACCTAGTCCTGGACTAAACTTTAGGTGGATAATTTCCTTAAATGCTTTTTAGTCCAGGATTAGTCTTAATAAGTGTCTGGGAAACCGGCCCCAATTGATATAATTACACAAAATTATTATTTGTTCCTGCGCCAACGTTGGTTAATCGAATCAGAACACACTGGCTTGCCTCAAACCCTGTGACGCCAGTCTATTTTCCTCCAGTTTAATGATACTCTACAGGAAACTAGCATGAATACAGAAAGCTAATTATTGGCTAGAGGAATCACTCATGCTGAAGATTTTTTTCTGTATTTGAATGTGCTGGAGATAGCTAAACCTTATAAACAGAATGACTAGGACTTGGAACCTTTTAACAATTTGACTGGTAACTCATGGGTGCACAAAAAAATGGCTTCCAGATGACCCATTATGGCATCATCGACTTAATGGGGAGGCTTGTTCTACTCATTCTGTGAGCTACCGGTAAACTAAAGTGACCCTCTCCGGTCACCTTCCTCTGTCCCCAGATCACCAGAAACACCACTCCTGCCTACAGGACACCTGAGATGATTGACCTGTATTCCAACTTCCCCATTAACGAGAAGCAAGACATCTGGGTAAGACTTGCCACAGCAACTTCACATAGCATCATTTATCTAGTCTGTCTGTCGTTTGTTTAGTTTGCTGCTGTATTGGTAGCTGTGTCACCTGCTAAGGTGAGCCCTATTGGGGCCCTGATCAAAAGTAGTGCACTATAAAGGGAATAGGGTGTTTATTTAAGACACATCTCTATTACCTGTTGATCATTTTCCTTTGTGTGTCTGTGTGTGTGTGTGTCTCGCTCTCTCTCTCCAGGCATTGGGTTGTATCCTCTACCTGTTGTGCTTCAAGCAGCACCCCTTCGAGGAGGGCGCCAAGCTGCAGATAGTCAATGGGAAGTACGCCATCCCCCAGAATGATGTCAAGTACACTGTCTACCACGAGCTCATCAGTAAGAACCTCTGTACATTCATCAGATCAGGCCTCTCATATTAGTGCTCGTCTTAGTAAATGCGGCCGGTGGTTTAAAAATGAATAAATAGTTAAAAAGAGAAAGAGAGACCCTGTACACAGCTGTGCATCTTGGTTTATTTGCTGGTTTTGAACCCTGTACACAGCAGTGCATCTTGGTTTATTTGCTGGTTTTGAACCCTGTACACAGCTGTGCATCTAGGTCTAGTTGCTGGTTTTGAACCCTGTACACAGCAGTTCATCTAGGTCTAGTTGCTGGTTTTGAACCCTGTACACAGCAGTTCATCTAGGTCTAGTTGCTGGTTTTGAACCCTGTACACAGCAGTTCAGCTAGGTCTAGTTGCTGGTTTTGAACCCTGTACACAGCAGTGCATCTTGGTCTAGTTGCTGGTTTTGAACCCTGTACACAGCAGTTCAGCTAGGTCTAGTTGCTGGTTTTGGCAGGAACGACTAGTATAAAAAAAAATACTACGCACACCGAAAAAAGAGGCGAACGACTTTGAGGTTATGAGGTGAGATCTGCCAGAGGAGGACTGGCCACCCCTCGGAGCCTGGTTCCTCTCTAGGTTTCTTCCTGGGTTACTGCCTCTGGCCACCCCTCTGAGCCTGGTTCCTCTCTAGGTTTCTTCCTGGGTTACTGCCTCTGGCCACCCCTCTGAGCCTGGTTCCTCTCTAGGTTTCTTCCTGGGTTACTGCCTCTGGCCACCCCTCGAAGCCTGGTTCCTCTCTAAGTTTCTTCCTGGGTTACTGCCTCTGGCCACTCCTCGGAGCCTGGTTCCTCTCTAGGTTTCTTCCTGGGTTACTGCCTCTGGCCACCCCTCGAAGCCTGGTTCCTCTCTAGGTTTCTTCCTGGGTTACTGCCTCTGGCCACTCCTCTGAGCCTGGTTCCTCTCTAGGTTTCTTCCTGGGTTACTGCCTCTGGCCACCCCTCGGAGCCTGGTTCCTCTCTAGGTTTCTTCCTGGGTTACTGCCTCTGGCCACCCCTCGGAGCCTGGTTCCTCTCTAGGTTTCTTCCTGGGTTACTGCCTCTGGCCACCCCTCGGAGCCTGGTTCCTCTCTAGGTTTCTTCCTGGGTTACAGCCTTCTAGGGAGTGTTTTCTAGCCACTGTGCTTCTGCCTCTGCATTGTTTGGTCTTAGAGTTTTAGGCTGGGTTTCCATTAAGCCCCAAGTGACAACTGCTGGTGTAAAAATGTCTTTATAAAATGTCTTTATAAAATGTCTTTATAAAATGTCTTTGATTGAGGTGTTTGCGTGTGGCCTCAGTGCTAAGAGGTTCTGTTTGTGCCATTCCTCGACCCTTCTCAGGATCCATGCTGAAGATCAACCCAGAGGAGAGGCTGTCCATCACAGAGCTGGTCAACCAACTGCAGGAGATTGCTGCGGCGCGCAACGTCAACCCCAAGTCTCCCATCACAGAGGTAACCGACTGACCTTCAACCCCCTGACCATTGACATCTGAACCCCTTCTGCTTGTCTGACCTTACTAGCATGGCAACCCAACTCCCTCACGTCTCCTTTCTAGAGCCTTTTGCGTGAGGGGCCTTGACATTGACAACTGCATTTGTATACTGGTTCTACCAAATACCATCACAGGATGTGAAATGACTTCAGCCAAACACAGCACGTTGCCTGGTTTTTGATCAGTACAGTTGCTCACATAATGACTTGTAGTTGTCCCACTTACTTCTCCGTTGGTGGCATTGTCCTAGCATTAGCCGTATCAGAGTGTCTATTGAGAGTGGTGTGGGGTGTGAGAGAGGAGGATATGTCCTTGGTTGGATACTCAGGGTAATGCCCCCTGCTTAAGGTCCCACGAAAGGTCAGGTCACCTTTCCCCCCTTGGGTGACCATGAGGTGACCATGAGGGGACCATGAGCGGACCATGAGGTTTAGGGACTCCCTATCCCTCCCCCTTGCTCTTGGACCTAACCCCTCCAGTATATTGTTAAAGTTTCCACTATATTGCTTCCACCTTTAATATCTGCAAACGTTGATGAGTTAGGGCCGAGGGCAGTGGTAGGAATTGAATTGGGACTGTGTAGCCCAGTTACCCCCCCCCCCCCCCCCCCACACTCCTTTACGGCAAACAAGTTGGGTCTTGGCGTACAAAGGGAATCAGGTCTCCAGTAGTGCCACCAACTCTCTGAAGAGCTATTCACCAACTCTCTGAAGAGCTATTCACCAACTCTCTGAAGAGCTATTCACCAACTCTCTGAAGAGCTATTCACCAACTCTCTGAAGAGCTATTCACCAACTCTCTGAAGAGCTATTCACCAACTCTCTGAAGAGCTATTCACCAACTCTCTGAAGAGCTATTCACCAACTCTCTGAAGAGCTATTCACCAACTCTCTGAAGAGCTATTCACCAACTCTCTGAAGAGCTATTCACCAACTCTCTGAAGAGCTATTCACCAACTCTCTGAAGAGCTATTCACCAACTCTCTGAAGAGCTATTCACCAACTCTCTGAAGAGCTATTCACCAACTCTCTGAAGAGCTATTCACCAACTCTCTGAAGAGCTATTCACCAACTCTCTGAAGAGCTATTCACCAACTCTCTGAAGAGCTATTCACCAACTCTCTGAAGAGCTATTCACCAACTCTCTGAAGAGCTATTCACCAACTCTCTGAAGAGCTATTCACCAACTCTCTGAAGAGCTATTCACCAACTCTCTGAAGAGCTATTCACCAACTCTCTGAAGAGCTATTCACCAACTCTCTGAAGAGCTATTCACCAACTCTCTGAAGAGCTATTCACCAACTCTCTGAAGAGCTATTCACCAACTCTCTGAAGAGCTATTCACCAACTCTCTGAAGAGCTATTCACCAACTCTCTGAAGAGCTATTCACCAACTCTCTGAAGAGCTATTCACCAACTCTCTGAAGAGCTATTCACCAACTCTCTGAAGAGCTATTCACCAACTCTCTGAAGAGCTATTCACCAACTCTCTGAAGAGCTATTCACCAACTCTCTGAAGAGCTATTCACCAACTCTCTGAAGAGCTATTCACCAACTCTCTGAAGAGCTATTCACCAACTCTCTGAAGAGCTATTCACCAACTCTCTGAAGAGCTATTCACCAACTCTCTGAAGAGCTATTCACCAACTCTCTGAAGAGCTATTCACCAACTCTCTGAAGAGCTATTCACCAACTCTCTGAAGAGCTATTCACCAACTCTCTGAAGAGCTATTCACCAACTCTCTGAAGAGCTATTCACCAACTCTCTGAAGAGCTATTCACCAACTCTCTGAAGAGCTATTCACCAACTCTCTGAAGAGCTATTCACCAACTCTCTGAAGAGCTATTCACCAACTCTCTGAAGAGCTATTCACCAACTCTCTGAAGAGCTATTCACCAACTCTCTGAAGAGCTATTCACCAACTCTCTGAAGAGCTATTCACCAACTCTCTGAAGAGCTATTCACCAACTCTCTGAAGAGCTATTCACCAACTCTCTGAAGAGCTATTCACCAACTCTCTGAAGAGCTATTCACCAACTCTCTGAAGAGCTATTCACCAACTCTCTGAAGAGCTATTCACCAACTCTCTGAAGAGCTATTCACCAACTCTCTGAAGAGCTATTCACCAACTCTCTGAAGAGCTATTCACCAACTCTCTGAAGAGCTATTCACCAACTCTCTGAAGAGCTATTCACCAACTCTCTGAAGAGCTATTCACCAACTCTCTGCTTCCCTCCCTCCCTCCTCCTCAACCCCCTCCACCATCAGCCACAAAGAAGTGTCTCAACCCAGCCACAGTCACACACAACAGCCGTTTCAGTCTGAACGGAAAGTGATGTCACATGATGGGGAAAGAAAGAGAGAAATGAGAGGGAGGGAGAGATGGAGGGAAAGAGAGAGAGAGAGAAATAAAATACTTAGAGAAGCAAAAGGAGAGAAGGATGGAAGGGAGAAAAGAGAGTAGTCAGCCGTATACTTGGTCTACTGTGGGACTTGGCATGTTGTTGGAAGGGTGTGAAATTGTACTTTTTGCCGTGATAGGGGGTGATGTAAGGGTAGGTTCAGAGTGACGTTTTTACTTGGAACGGTTGGCGTCGAAGGGATGGACTTCTATTGGCTATCTCTTTTGTTTTTAAGTGTGTGTGGGGGGGGGTGTTATTTGTTTACTAGTGGTCAAACCATCACGGTCATAAGGCTCATCTTTTGCTGTTGGTGTGCAGCGACAACTTCAGGAGTAGTAGTAGTAGTAGTAGTAGTAGTAGTAGTAGTAGTAGTAGTAGTAGTAGCAGTAGCAGTAGTAGTAGTAGCAGTAGCAGCAGCAGCAGCAGTAGCAGTAGCAGCAGTAGTAGTAGTAGCAGCAGTAGTAGTAGCCGTAGCAGTAGTAGTAGCAGTAGTAGTAGTAGTAGTAGTAGTAGTAGTAGGAGCAGTAGTAGCAGCAGTAGTAGTAGCAGTAGTAGTAGTAGTAGTAGTAGTAGTAGTAGCAGTAGTAGTAGTAGTAGTAGTAGGAGCAGTATAATAATAATAATATGCCATTTAGCAGACGCTTTTATCCAGAGCGACTTACAGTCATGTGTGCATACATTTTTACGTATGGGTGGTCCCGGGGATTGAACCCACTACCCTGGCGTTACAAGCGCAATGCTCTACCAATTGAGCTACAGAGGACCAGTAGTAGTGGTAGTAGTAGTAGTAACAGTAGTAGTAGTAGTAGTAGTAGTAGTAGTAGTAGTAGTAGTAGTAGTAGTAGTAGTAGTAGTAGTAGTAGTAGTAAAAGTACTAGTAGTGGTAGTAGTAACAGTAGTAGTAGTGATTGTGGTAGTAGTAGTAGTAACAGTAGTATTAGTAGTAACAGTAGTAGTAGCCGTAGCAGTAGTAGTAGCCATAGCAGCAGCAGTAGTAGTAGTAGTAGTAGTAGTAGTAGTGGTAACAGTAGTAGTAGTAGTATTAGTAGTAACAGTAGTAGTAGTAGTGGTAGTAATTACATTTTTACATTTTAGTCATTTAGCAGACGCTCTTATCCAGAGCGACTTACAGGAGCAATTAGGGTTAAGTGCCTTGCTCAAGGGCACATTTACGTCATTTAGCAGACGCTCTTATCCAGAGTGACTCACAAATTGGTGCATTCACCCTATAGCCAGTGGGATAACCACTTTACAATTTTTTTATTGGGGGGGGGGGGGTAGAAGGATTACTTTATCCTATCCCAGGTATTCCTTAAAGAGGTGGGGTTTCAAATGTCTCCGGAAGGTGGTGAGTGACTCCGCTGTCCTGGCGTCGTGAGGGAGCTTGTTCCACCATTGGGGTGCCAGAGCAGCGAACAGTTTTGACTGGGCTGAGCGGGAACTATGCTTCCGCAGAGGAAGGGGAGCCAGCAGGCCAGAGGTGGATGAACGCAGTGCCCTCGTTTGGGTGTAGGGACTGATCAGAGCCCGAAGGTACAGAGGTGCCGTTCCCCTCACTGCTCCATAGGCAAGCACCATGGTCTTGTAACGGATGCGAGCTTCAACTGGAAGCCAGTGGAGTGTGCGGAGGAGGGGGGTGACGTGAGAGAACTTGGGAAGGTTGAACACCAGACGGGCTGCGGCATTCAGGATGAGTTGTAGGGGTTTAATGGCACAGGCAGGGAGGCCAGCCAACAGCGAGTTGCAGTAATCCAGACGGGAGATGACAAGTGCCTGGATTAGGACCTGTGCCGCTTCCTGTGTAAGGCAGGGTCGTACTCTCCGAATGTTGTAGAGCATGAACCTGCAGGAGCGGGTCACCGCCTTGATGTTAGCGGAGAACGACAGGGTGTTGTCCAGGGTCACGCCAAGGCTCTTCGCACTCTGGGAGGAGGACACAACGGAGTTGTCAACCGTGATGGCGAGATCATGGAACGGGCAGTCCTTCCCCGGGAGGAAGAGCAGCTCCGTCTTGCCAGGGTTCAGCTTGAGGTGGTGATCCGTCATCCATACTGATATGTCTGCCAGACATGCAGAGATGCGATTCGCCACCTGGTTATCAGAAGGGGGAAAGGAGAAGATTAGTTGTGTATCGTCAGCGTAGCAATGATAGGAGAGGCCATGTGAGGATATGACAGAGCCAAGTGACTTGGTGTATAGGGAGAAAAGGAGAGGGCCTAGAACTGAGCCCTGGGGGACACCAGTGGTGAGAGCACGTGGTGCGGAGACAGATAATGTCGGTAAGGGGTAGACATAACTGCTCCCCTGTGTCTGAGGGCAGATTTAGGCTGGGATGATCTGGGTTAAGCGGGGGTTTCTCTGTGGGTTAAGGAGCTTACCCCCTCCGGAGAGGAAGCACGGCCAAGACTGGAAGGACTCGTAAATGTTTGGCCCTCACCGACACACCCATAGATACCTACACTCTGGTCCAGGGGAAATATAATTATGTTCTGACTGATTCCACTGACTCTGACTGCCTTCTCTTGGGACTTGTTTTTTGTCCTTCTCTTGTCAACTGTTTGTTTTTGGTGCTTGGTCGCCCCATGAGTCTGTTGAGGCCAGACTACTGTTTGAGGCCTGCTTATGATGGCTATGAATCTCTGCAGCTGCTGGAGCAGAACGGAGGCTTTGGCAACAACGGCGCACAGCCCCCAGCCCAGATCCACAACATCCACAATGCAGGTGAGTTCAACAGCTCTGTGTGTGTGTCCTGTGTGTCTCCTGTGTGTGTGTGTGTGTGTCACTTGTCACTGTTTTGTTTCAACCAGGAATATCTTTATAATGATTGGAATTGGGGCCAACATTGTACTTCAATCAGACAAATCTCATTGTACTTCAATCAGACAAATCTCATTTGAACCATGAAAGGAGGGACGATGTAACATCTAGTAACTAAATTGATATCTAGTTTGGTGAAAAATAAAAGGTGATGGCATCTCCTAACAAGTCTAATCGCAAATGTACTCTTTTATTTGTTAAAGAAAGTGGTCACGATTTTTTGATCTCAGACTGTCGTGTCTTGTCAAAGCTTGTCTAGTTTTTCCTTTTTCTGATAGTCTGAAAGGTTGTCTCTATCTCTCTCTACTCTCTCCCTGCCTCTCTCTCTCTCGCTGTCTCTCTCTCTCCCTGCCTCTCTCTCTCGCTGTCTCTCTCTCTCTCTCTCTCACTCTCTCTCTCTCTCTCTCTCTCGCTGTCTCTCTCTCTCGTAGTTAGATAGTCTAGATGCAGTGAGTGTGAAAGGTTGTCTGTCTCTCTCTGTCTCGTGGTTAGTTACTCAATAAGATGCATTTCAGCCACAATTGAGCCGGTCTAATGGAACCTGCTCCGCCATGTTCTCTTCATAACGGGAAGCCAGCATCTCTAGCCATAGCTCACTCTATCCTCCTAGGGGCTCATCAATCAGTGGACTATGTCGCCACTACTCCTGCCTGGGGACACTAACTGGGAGGCTAACTGGCGAGGAGCTCACCATGTCACTCCTGCCTGGGGACACTAACTGGGAGGCTAACTGGCGAGGAGCTCACCATGTCACTCATGCCTGTAATCTGGTTATGCTGTCCCCTCTTGGCTCCTTCCCTCCTTCCCTCCGTCCCTCGTGACCTCAGGCTAGGAAGGAACAAGCATGGCCACATAGTGAGTTGGTTTGGACCTGAGTTGGTGAAGGCAGTCTGGGCCCATAGTCACCGAGCGTCTCAGAGTAGGAGTGTTGATTTTAGGATCCGTTTTTACTTTAAGATCACATGGAAAAGGGGGGGACCTGGGCTCATATCCACCAAGCGTCTCAGAGTAGGAATGCTGATCTAGGATCCGTTTTGCCTTTTTATATTATAATGAATAAGATTCTATGGACCTGATCCTAGATCAGCAGTCCTAGTCTGAGATGCTTGAAACACTCTCTCACAGCCTGCAGTGTTTGGCAGGTAGCTTAGTGGTTAAGAGCGTTGTGCCAGTAACCGAAAGGTCGCTGGTTCTAATCCCCGAGCCGACTAGGTGAAAAATCTGTCGTTGTGCCCTTGAGCGAGGCACTTAACCCTAATTGCTCCTGTAAGTCGCTCTGGATAAGAGCGTCTGCTAAATGACTAAAATGTAAATGTCTCCTTAGACTCGTGGTGCGGTCCGCTTGTCGCCTAATGTTTGCACTGGGTGTGTTTTTTTTAAATAACCTACGGATACATCGATTTTTAAATGCTGGAACACGGCTTACAACTCACTCACTTAGGAAGGGACTGACTAGTCATTATGGGTCACAAAATGTAATTAAAACTTAAATCTAGGTCAGAATGGATGATATTTCAAATATCATACTTGTGAAAAATATATCCACAGGGTTAATTAAGCACATGCAGGATATCAAAGTTATATGCTTAGTATTTTCCAGTTTGTACTGGCTCTAAACAAATGAAAATACTAAGCATATAACTTTGATATCCTTCATGTGCTTTTCCCTGTGGATATATTTTTACACTGACTCTTTTCAGAATTAGCACTGCAAACATCTACTAGGAACACTTTATTATAATCTTGGCTGAAAAATACTTTTGTTTGAATCTATCATACTTGGAAATGTAACTTTTAAGGAAGAGTGCTCATGGAGTGGAGACGCACACAAACACACCAACTACTACTCGTGATCTGGTGCTATGTGTTCGGCTGTTAAGACGACTGCTCTTTTGACAGTCAGCCATCTGGTGAACAGACTGGGGCCTCCCTGTGGTGAGATGCCTCCTGTACTCATTCACACCTGGCGTCAGTGCTTAATATGAGCCAGATCCTGCCGGAACAGTATCCGGCACCTCTGTTTTGTACTCTTTGGTTCCGGAACCCATTTTCCAGGATCAGGTAGCCTAACCTCTTGTGGCATGAAACATTATTTTCACGGTTTGCAATGTAAAAATCATAATAAAAGCAATCGGAGTAATTCCATTTTGACTCCTCTGTAATTCTCCTGCCCCCTAAAAACAAACGTAATGTGAAAACGTGCCTGATATTCTAAGAATTGATTCATGTTGGCCCGGGTTTATGGTTTGCACAACATTGTGGCCTATATAGACCAACGCGGGCCATTGCTGTGGTGCGAGAGAGAGAAGCACACCTATATCTCTCACAGAACTAAAATGAGAATCACTTTCTATGATCTCTCTCCATCTCTGTGCTGTTATAGACATGAGCCTGCATCTCTCATCTCTCCAGCGTTGCACTTCATCATTTATCTCCTAATAGAATAATAGCTGCGGGAAGTATGCAGCTGCACTCTGTTCAGAAATAAATGAAATAATTCCCAATGCTACACCAGGAGTAAGCCTATAATTTAACCCCGAAGGATCCATAGCTAATGTTAAAATATTGCCAAGCTGTGGATTGTGTGTAGCCAGATCACAAGGCATAGCCTACAGTTGGGAACGTGTGGCAAAGCTGTCAGTGAACAGCATGCAGCCAAAACAGGCCTTTCATAATATTTCGCTGGAAAAACACTGGTTGGAAAGAAAATGGATCCTGCTGAAAAGAAAATACTTACCTGTCTGTATGTTACCAAGTTATCAACTTCCAAATAGGCCTATTGAGCGAACAGCATTGTTTTACAGTCAAGAGAGAGATACGCTTTTGGCCGGTGAGTGAGCAGCGCATCATTGGGTGAGTAAGGGAAACTGGAAAGCTTTTATAGGACTATAATTTCCTCATATTGTACAATATGTGTCTCCCCGTACGCCTAGGCCTAGGCTATTGATGGATTCAAGACAAGGTTGTTTTTATTGATCTCAGATTCTCAGTTTGTCAGTGTCAAAGTAGCCTGTCATTTCGATCGTTTGTGAGGTATTAAAAAAGATTCTGCGAAAGTCTCCAGTCATCTAAAATTATGTAGAATTGCATGAAATTCGTTGATAAAAGCCCATATTTTTCCCGGACTCTAGGCTACAAAAAATGCGTACCAGTACCTAAGAGACGCCCAGGTCCACCCCCCTCTCGGGCACATTTTTTGTTCCGGCACCTCCTATATTACAAATTAAGCACTGCCTGGTGTATATTCAATAGTACACACCGTAGCAAAATGTTTGTTAACAGAGACCGTTTTGCAAACAGAAATTCGTTTTTAATTGAACAAATGTAGGTTCCTCCCCGTTTTGTCCTGTAGCTTCCGTTTGGTTCCTAGTGAAATACACCTACGGTTGTAAGGTTACGTCATCCCTCTGAACTGGCTCATCACCTACGGTTGTAAGGTTACGTCATCCCTCTGAACTGGCTCATCACCTACGGTTGTAAGGTTACGTCATCCCTCTGAACTGGCTCATCACCTACGGTTGTAAGGTTACGTCATCCCTCTGAACTGGCTCATCACCTACGGTTGTAAGGTTACGTCATCCCTCTGAACTGGCTCATCACCTACGGTTGTAAGGTTACGTCATCCCTCTGAACTGGCTCATCACCTACGGTTGTAAGGTTACGTCATCCCTCTGAACTGGCTCATCACCTACGGTTGTAAGGTTACGTCATCCCTCTGAAAACAACGGAGAGAAAAGACAAAGGACCCAATTCAGTAACGTTTGTAGACTCAGGTCAAGCCCTATTGTCTAGTGAAGCCCTATTGTCTAGTGAAGCCCCGTTGTCTAGTGAAGCCCTATTGTCTAGTCAAGCCCTGTTGTCAAGCCCTATTGAGCGGATGGTCGGGGGGCCGGAACATAATTACAAATAATTTGTAGACTGCAAATTGACCGCAAGAAGCCCAAACAGATATGTTTGACTAAAACAGAATCATTTCAAACCTTATTTACATTTGTATATGATCTTGTGTCTCTCTATTATGCGTGGAAATGCTTTGGAACAGATTTCTTGAATTAAAATCACTTGGAGCTGATTTCCTGATATATTTTTTGTCCAACAAAAAATTAAATACAAAAAAGTACTAAAGTTCTTTTTATTTTTTTATTAAAACATTCTCAAGGAACTTGGGGGGCCAAATGAAACCCTATCTGGTGGCCCGCGGGTCGAATTTGGCCTGCGGGCTGCCAGTTGGGGAACCCTGGTCTAGTCAAAACCTTTTGTCTAGTCATACCCTTGTAGTGGAATTTTACTGTGTCTCTTTCTGCTTTTTCAGTGTCTCACACTTATCATATTTGTTTGACCTGTTGCATACTTAGAAATGCCCCTGTTGTAGACAGACAGGGTGTCTAAGGTTTGTCTCACAAGGTCGGCTCAGCGGAGTAGAAATATTGGCTGAACGCTCAGACTGGGGTTGCCAGGTGTTCTCATCCTCTGCAGTCGGTCTCTGGGAGCAAACGCTTTGCTGAGAAAGGATGCACTTGGCTATCTTTGTGTAACCCGTAGTATAAATAGGCTGAGGGAGAAATACCTCGTCAGAGCTTCTGACTAAACTCCACATTTAAGTGCTGTTTGTCTGTAATCTCTCTGCTGGCTTGAATAAACATACATTAATTTAAGCTCGACTTTGGGGTCCTTAGTGGTCATTTCCACGACACCCTATTGTCTATAACCATGTTATTTGTAAAACTCATCAGATAGTTACTGTATGCCATAGATCAGGGGTGTCAAACAGATTTTGTCCCGGGTGTCGCATTCGGTCTTCAATGAGGTCCGGAAGGCCACATTGAAAATTGTTTGCATTTCCTCGTAAAATATGCAATAAATAGGCCTCTATCCATAAAAACATGTATGCTCCCTGACTCATTAGCCTTTCATTTTTATGATTATTAGCAAGCTGGACACAGTCAAGAAACTGTATGACTGTAGGTCCATTATAATTTCTACACAGTTTCGATCAGATTTTAGTCATTTAAAAGTATATTGAGCTCGTCCCCCTCCAATACGTTTTTTTATTTTTTTATTTTTTTACTCAATCCACCTGCGGCACATTATACTGCGACACACCTGTCATAGATAGATCGTGTTGATCACAAATGTAAATTGATGATTAGCCTATAAAAGGAATGTTTATTTCCAGATGCATAATGTGTGAAACCACTTTTGTGCGCTGACCCCTGCATTTGTCTCCTTCCTGTGTGTCTCAGGGGTGTACGGTGTGGACCCGGACCAGGGCGGGGGCTTCCTCGACATCCTGAAGGGAGGAACAGAACGCTTTCTGACCAACATCAAAGACACCTCTTCTAAAGTCATCCAGTCTGTGGCCAGGTGAGAGAGAGTCTGATCAGAAACACCTGCAATACATTATACTGAGAAACATCACACTGAGAAACATCACAATACATTATACTGAGAAACACCTGCAATACATTATACTGAGAAACATCACAATACATTATACTACGAAACATCACAATACATTCTACTGAGAAACATCACAATACATTCTACTCAGAAACATCACAATACATTATACTGACAAACATCACAATGCATTATACTGAGAAACATCACAATGCATTATACTGAGAAACATCACAATACATTCTACTGAGAAACATCACAATACATTCTACTGAGAAACATCACAATATATTCTACTGAGAAACATCACAATACATTCTACTCAGAAACATCACAATACATTCTACTCAGAAACATCACAATACATTATACTGAGAAACATCACAATACATTATACTGAGAAACATCACAATACATTATACTCAGAAACATCACAATACATTATACTCAGAAACATCAATACATTATACTCAGAAACATCACAATACATTATACTGAGAAACATCACAATACATTCTACTGAGAAACATCACAATACATTATACTCAAACATCAATACATTATACTCAGAAACATCACAATACATTATACTGAGAAACATCACAATACATTCTACTGAGAAACATCACAATACATTCTACTGAGAAACATCACAATACATTCTACTCAGAAACATCACAATACATTATACTCAGAAACATCACAATACATTATACTCAGAAACATCACACTGAGAAACATCACAATACATTCTACTGAGAAACATCACAATACATTCTACTCAGAAACATCACAATACATTATACTCAGAAACTTCACAATACATTATACTGAGAAACTTCACAATACATTATACTGAGAAACATCACAATACATTATACTGAGAAACATCACAATACATTATACTGAGAAACATCACAATACATTATACTCAGAAACATCACAATACATTATACTGAGAAACATCACAATATATTATACTGAGAAACATCACAATACATTATACTCATAAACATCAATACATTATACTGAGAAACATCACAATACATTATACTGAGAAACATCACAATACATTCTACTGAGAAACATCACAATACATTATACTGAGAAACATCACAATACATTATACTGAGAAACATCACAATACATTATACTGAGAAACATCACAATACATTATACTGAGAAACCTCACAAAATATACTGAGAAACATCACAATACATTATACGGAGAACATCACAATACATTATACTCAGAAACATCAATACATTATACTGAGAAACATCACAATACATTATACTGAGAAACATCACAATACATTATACTGAGAAACATCACAATACATTCTACTGAGAAACATCACAATACATTCTACTGAGAAACATCACATTACATTCCTGAGAAACATCACATTACATTATACCAACAAAAAAAAACATCACACAAAACAATGCTTGTTTAATGACTTTGAGATAAAAATACCCCACATACACCAGGGCGCGTGTACATATTCGTTATGTATCTTATTTATCACAGCCTTTTGAGCGGAAAATCTGTCAGACAGCACAAGAGCTGCTGTTACAGTACATGTATCGGCAACGGAAGTCGGGCTTCATCAGCGCGTCACACACCACTTAGCAACGAGCTGGAAGGCTTCATCAGCGCGTCACACACCACTTAGCAACGAGCTGGAAGGCTTCATCAGCGCGTCACACACCACTTAGCAACGAGCTGGAAGGCTTCATCAGCGCGTCACACACCACTTAGCAACGAGCTGGAAGGCTTCATCAGCGCGTCACACACCACTTAGCAACGAGCTGGAAGGCTTCATCAGCACGTCACACACCACTTAGCAACGAGCTGGAAGGCTTCATCAGCGCGTCACACACCACTTAGCAACGAGCTGGAAGGCTTCATCAGCGCGTCACACACCACTTAGCAACGAGCTGGAAGGCTTCATCAGCGCGTCACACACCACTTAGCAACGAGCTGGAAGGCTTCATCAGCGCGTCACACACCACTTAGCAACGAGCTGGAAGGCTTCATCAGCGCGTCACACACCACTTAGCAACGAGCTGGAAGGCTTCATCAGCGCGTCACACACCACTTAGCAATGAGCTGGAAGGCTTCATCAGCGCGTCACACACCACTTAGCAACGAGCTGGAAGGCTTCATCAGCGCGTCACACACCACTTAGCAACGAGCTGGAAGGCTTCATCAGCGCGTCACACACCACTTAGCAACGAGCTGGAAGGCTTCATCAGCGCGTCACACACCACTTAGCAACGAGCTGGAAGGCTTCATCAGCGCGTCACACACCACTTAGCAACGAGCTGGAAGGCTTCATCAGCGCGTCACACACCACTTAGCAACGAGCTGGAGGCGGTATGCATTTGGAAAACATATAGCTGCTTAATTGTTTGAAACCTGAACGTTTTACTACATGAGGCATGTCTTACCTTGCTTCAAAGAAGTAGCCTGGCCAAAATCAGACCATATCCGTGGAGGCAATTCTTTTATATCAACTTTTTTAAAAATTTTCCAGTAGCCAAGGGCACAATCCTAGTCATATTAGCAACCCATGCTAGTTGTTGCAAATTAAGATCTCCCCTCTTTCTACATTTATAACTGATATTTTCATCTCTGTCACATGAAACCGCTCGCATGTGCAGTGCCCTTTTGACAACAGTGTTTTCACGCTAATTACATTATGGACCGAACATTCGCACGTAGCCTACTGCCTTGTGCGCATTGCTGCGCTTATAATGTGAAGAAATAATAGTTTATCAACATTTTTAAGCGAAACGTTCTGATCTGTTGCATCGACCCATTGCTTTTTTTACGTTTAAAAAAAAAAATGTAGGCTAGGCCTACTGGTTGTACGAATTTAGGATCTATCGTCCCACAACTGTCCCAGAGTCAGTTTGGAACAAGTTGACCAATAGAATGGGCCTAGGGAAACGTTTCTACTATGGGGTATAGTAGATTGACATAGGCTAGGGATTTAGCTGTCCGTTACTCGCCTTGTTGGTTGAGGAAAAGTACATGTGGACAGTTCTTCTAACATCTTCAAAGTGCACATCATAATTAGGTAAGAAGGACTTTGTCACATTGTCGACTTGCATGTTCTGTTATTATGAATTACTATCATTCTGGGCACCGTGGATGGATGCCCTAATCAGGTTACGCACCCAATGCATACGGGTCCGGTAAATTTCTCAAATGTCCGGTGACTTAAAATGCTGCCGGTCAAATGTCCGGCGCCACATTTTCATAACGGAAACCCCGACACACACACACACACACACACACTCTCTCTCTCTCTCTCCATTCCTTCTAGGATCTGATAACTCAGCCCACCCTTATCCACTCATCCTGTTTTGATTCATTGGTTTATTGGTTTGCCCATTTAGTTGTGTTTTGTGTTTTATGAGTGTTTTATGTTCTCTGCCTCCCTACCACAACTCATGGTCCTATAAACTCCATCCTGTAGCCCCAGGTAAATATCGGTCACTACACGCCCGCTTTGCGCCCGCCTCATGTCCTCTGTGTGTGTGTGTGTGTGTGTGTGTGTGCGTGTGCGTGCGCATGTGCGTGCGTGCGGCCGTAGTCTGCTAAATCTTCACGCTGCTGTGTCCATAATCCAAAGGTTAGCAGCACAAAGTGAATGGGGTTTGAGTTGAAACAAGGTTTAAATTCTAATCCTCCACCGCCTACTAAAAACCAACATCTCGCCAACGTTCATGTTCCTAACTCACGTCCATTTGTGCTGATCCAACTAGTTTTCTTTAGTTTAGGCAGTAGATTTTTTTGTAAAAAAGTACAGTATTTAAATCTCTCTTTTTAAGTATCTGTTTCATTGCCAATGTGCGGTGATAGTGAGATTAAATGTGACATTGCAGTGAAATGCTTCTACACACGACTGAATATAGTCCGTGGGTGTCCCGAAAGTCTCTCCTCACTCTTGAAGTGTACACTTGTTCACTACCCCTCATGGATTTGAAAGTAAATGACTGATATCTAAAAAGCTCCCTACGCCAATCAAACGCTTTTAAATTTGTGGGAAGTGGTGAACGAGTGCACACTTCAGGAGGAAGGAGATATTATTGGGATACAACCAGAATGGAGGAAGGAGACATTATTGGGATACAACCAGAATGGAGGAAGGAGACATTATTGGGATACAACCAGAATGCCCTTTTGAAATGTAGCAACTAGATTGTCAAATTCTCCTCTTTGTTTGCAACAAAGGATCTGAAATGTACCCATTGTTTGATTCTCCTCACAGTTATACCAAGGGAGACCTGGACATTTCCTACATCACCTCTAGAATAGCAGGTATGTACCCTCATTCTAGCCTTGTCTATGATCAGTTTGTGCTATCTTGTTTGGTGTGACAAGGAGTTGACATGATAGCTCAAACAGATCTGGGACCAGGCTACTCATTGTACACTATTATGGATTGTTTTCTTTGATCACCTTCTAAACTGTGTTGCTTTGCGTTTTTTTTTAATCAAGCAAAAAATAATGCTCAAATGGGTCTATGTCTCTGAGCAGAATTGAAGCTGATCCATCTGTACAGTGTTTTCAAAAGGCTAAGTGAAGTAATGTGATGGTCACACTGTTCTCTTGTGTGACGTGCGTGTGACGTGCGTGTGACGTGCGTGTGACGTGCGTGTGACGTGTGTGTGTGTGTGTGTGTGACGTGCGTGTGACGTGCGTGTGACGTGCGTGTGATGTGCGTGTGTGTGTGTGATGTGCGTGTGACGTGTGTGTGTGTGTGTGTGTGATGTGCGTGTGTGTGATGTGCGTGTGATGTGCGTGTGATGTGCGTGTGACGTGCGTGTGACGTGCGTGTGACGTGCGTGTGACGTGCGTGTGTGTGTGTGTGTGTGTGATGTGCGTGTGTGTGTGTGTGTGTGTGTGTGTGTGTGTGACGTGCGTGTGCGTGTGTGTGTGCGTGTGTGTGTGTGACGTGCGTGTGTGTGTGTGTACACCCAGTCATGTCCTTCCCGGCGGAGGGAGTGGAGTCTGCCATTAAGAACAACATCGAGGATGTGCGTCTCTTCCTGGATGGCCGTCATGCAGGACACTACGCTGTCTACAACCTGACCAAGCGCTCCTACAGACCCTCCCGCTTCCACAACAGGGTAAGGCTGCCCACCACCAGACAGAATATGACTCATATTTACTATTGATGTACTATTAGGTAAAGAAAGGAGGGTTTTGAGGAACAATTCTACTGGTACACTGATTGGTTTGTGTGTCCCTGATTTGAGCGAATTTTGCAATCAGTGTAAAAGTTGTAAGTTTAGTATTGGGTAGTCATTAGACGGACACCGTTTGAAAATGGACTTTAAAAGCTCTTCCTGACCCTGCCGTAGGTGTCGGAGTGTGGCTGGCAGGCCCGGCGGGCCCCCAGCCTCAGGAGCCTCTACAGTCTCTGCAAGAACATGCACCTGTGGCTGAAACAGGACCAGAGGAACATCGCCATAGTCCACTGCCTGGTTAGCACAGCCTCCCACATACACCCTACACTCACTCACACTGCACTGGGACACACAAAGAACTCACCATCACTTTTTAATCACATTTTTCCTCCCAAAATTGGTAGTCTGTCTGAAATGCAGACCAACCCCAAAACATGTACTCTTAGTCCCCCCCATGTTGACCCATTATCCCCCTTGTTTTGTCTGCTGTAGGACGGGCGGGCGGCGTCGGCCGTGGCGGTGTGCTCCTTCCTGTGTTTCTGCCGCCTCTTCACCACGGCCGAGGCGGCCGTATACATGTTCAGTATGAAGCGCTGTCCCCCGGGGATCTCCCCCTCCCACAAGAGGTAGGTGCTCCTGGTCCAGTGATCCAGCCTTAAGTAAAGTTTCCCCTAGGTACAGGTCTAGGATCAGCTTCCCCTCCCCCAATCCTAACCTTATCCGGCAGGCAGGCAGCCTAGCGGTTAAGAGCTTTGGGCCAGTAACCGAAAGGTCGCTGGTTCGAATTCCCGAGCTGGCAAGGAGGAAAAATCTGCCGTTCTTCCCTTGAGCAAGGCAGTTAAGCCCCAAAAACAACTGCTCCCCGGGTGCCGATGACGTGGACGTCGATTAAAGCTGACCTCTCTGATTTAGAGCGGTTGGGTTAAATGTGGAAGACATTCAGTTGGACAACTGACTAGGTATCCCCCTTTAGGGATGGGGTCTCTGGTAGTTGACAGGGATGGGGTCTCCGGTAGTTGACAGGGATGGGGTCTCCGGTAGTGACTGTAGTTGACAGGGTTGGGGTCTCCTGTAGTTGACAGGGTTGGGGTCAGTTCCATTTCAATTCAGGAAGTAAATGAAAATTCAAATCCCAACATTCAAAAGCTTAATGATTCTACATGAGACAAATGTGGAATTTCAGTTGACTTCCTGAATTGACTGAATTTAAATGGAATTGACCCAAACCTTGTGGTCGGTACAGTCTTTTTCAGAATCTCTTCTATATCCACATTCATGGCCTCGGTCTTCACCCTATGAGAGGACAGGCCACTGTCTTCACCCTATGAGAGGACAGGCCACTGTCTTAACCCTATGAGAGGACAGGCCACTGTCTTAACCCTATGAGAGGACAGGCCACTGTCTTAACCCTGTGAGAGGACAGGCCACTGTCTTAACCCTGTGAGAGGACAGGCCACTGTCTTAAACCTTGTGAGAGGACAGGCCACTGTCTTAAACCTGTGAGAGGACAGGCCACTGTCTTAACCCTGTGAGAGGACAGGCCACTGTCTTAACCCTGTGAGAGGACAGGCCACTGTCTTCACCCTGTGAGAGGACAGGCCACTGTCTTCACCCTGTGAGAGGACAGGCCACTGTCTTAACCCTGTGATAGACTAGCAGCTGTCCTATCCAGGGGATGTACTTGAACATCAAGCTGCCTTAATCTTACCATATGCTTCCCAGTCGAAACAGTTCACGCATATATTATGATAACATTTTGTGGCGTTTATGTTCGTTTTGGTCTTTGGCTGTTCGTGCACACGAAGTCAACGCCAATTCGTTGGTGATTGGTCAACAGTATGACTCCTAGTAGGAGTGGGCACATGAAGTGTTTTCATGCAAAGGTTTTTACTTGAGAAATACTGCACAAAACACCTTAGCTAGATGTAAAATTGTGCGACTAACATGCTGACACACGTTATTCAGTCATTTCATCCAAACTGCTCGCGCGTGTCAACGAGCGTCTGCGTAGCCAGGCGCTAAAATAGAACTTGGTTGCAAGTCCCGCCCCTCCCATCTCCTCATTGGTTTTTAGGAGCATATACCCACATGGGGGTGATTGAAAGATGAACAGGTCCACACTCCAGTCCAGTTAGTGGTGGTAATTCACCTTTAAAGTTGGTTCCCATCCGCCATAAAAAAAATCCACAGAAGAAGAAGAAGAATGAACAAGGAGAAAAACTAAACTAGGTCTCCCCTTTTTATCTGTGGATTAATTATCAGAGTAGAGATCACTCGATTTAGTATGACTCAAGATGGGTCACTATTCTACAAAGATCCAGCAAAAAAATGTATTTCAGGTAAAATAACAACCCAATGTTTATTTTACATTTTTACATTTTAGTCATTTAGCAGACGCTCTTATCCAGAGCGACTTACAGTTAGTGAGTGCATACATTTTTTTTCTTCTTCATACTCCAGGATACATTAGCTAGCAACAACAATCTAGCTAAATGTCTATGAATGCTTCATGTGTGTTTCGACCTGTCCCCAAATGAATACAGTTGGTTCACAGTTGGTTTTGGTATTTTAACCTGCCTGTCATGAACGCTTCCAGTGGGGATAAAGAAAACGCACGCATGGAGCCGGTCTGGTCAGCATGTAAGACTTCCTCTGCAACAACGTCAAATTTAATGACCGATTTCTTGATTTATCTTTAGATTAATTTGGACTATTTTGAGGAAGTGCTTCTGGCTATGTTGCTGTGGTGGCTCAAGAGAGACGAACAACAGTAATACTGCCACTTCTTTCTTTCTAAGCGAAGGTCTTTAGGGGGTGTGAGAGACAGACTTTCACTTCGCCTACCCGAGTTCTGCTAGGAGCAAACTGAACCTATGTATGCGGATGCTTTACTCTACAGAAACAGAAAATCTGCTCCTGCCCTATGGGCCGTTCTGGCTCGGACAAGGCTACTTTTTTTTTATTTGCTAGGAACTTGAATCGGGCCGAGATTCTGTGGCGCCCAGTTCAGGGTTCAAATGTGTTGAGATGTTCAGTGCAGACGAGTGCAAGCTTTTGATTGGTCGTCCGGCTGGTGAAGGATTGTTTGGTTGGCTCCTGCTGACACACGCTCCTGCTGACTGTTGATTGGCCCTCGCTGCAGGTACATGGAGTACATGTGTGACATGATGGCTGACGAGCCAATCACCCCGCACAGCAGACCCATCCTCATCCGCTCCATCAGCATGACGCCCGTGCCCCTCTTCAACAAGCAGAGGAGTGGCTGCCGGCCCTTCTGCGAGGTGTACGTGGGAGATGAGCGCGTGGCCACCACCTCCGGGGAGTACGACAAGATGAAGTAGGTCACATGATGCAGGATTTGATTTGTGCTGCGTCCCAAATAACACCCTATTCCCTATTTAGTGCACTACTTTTGACCAGGGTCCATAATTTGTTATAGACATTTCTCTCTCTCTCGCTCTCTGCAGGGACTTTAAGCTGGAGGACGGACGGGCTGAGATCCCCTTGAACGTGATGGTGCAGGGGGATGTGCTAGTGGTCATCTACCATGCCCGCTCAACCCTGGGGGGCCGCCTGCAGGCCAAGGTAGGGACCACAGCAGTCAGGGACGGACCCAGAGTTAGTTTTGCATTCAGTGAAGTTTGTCTGCAATTCTGTTAAATTCAGTGACGGTCTTAAGGACATGCGTCCATACGTTTATAGTTAAATGATATGCCCTAATCACAGACTTTTTATAATGTATTGAAACAAGAGCTTACCCCATGAGGCCTGTTGTGCATGAGTTGTTCCAGAGATCAAGGTTGCATTCCAGGCCGACTACATTGCAGATGTTGCATTGCATCGAACAATGGTGTGCCACATCATTGACTGCACCATCAAGCATCAGATTGCTTTATCATACAATGCGGTTAGCTGATATGTTAAACACCTATCCAGGTGTTGTGAGATCTGGCACGCGTCTGCTGTGTAGTCAGCCTGGAACCCGACCAAAGAGTGTTTTTCTGGTACTATGAACTCACGTGGGTGTCCTGCTGTGTGTCTGTTGACTAGATGGCCTCCATGAAGATGTTCCAGATCCAGTTTCACACAGGGTTCGTGCCCCAAAACGCCACCGCGGTCAAGTTTGCAAAGTAGGTACCGCCATCCATAGACTCTAAGCCACTACCTACCCTCAATCCAGGCAGGTGCACGTGTTTGACGATATCCCAGGACACTTCTAAATCAATTGATGGCAGCGGTTGGGATGCCATGATGCCTTTGTGGAGTATCGGCCAGCAGTTGACTTGACCTGTAATTGACTTGACCTGTAATTGACTTGACCTGTAATTGACTTGCCTGTAATTGACTTGACCTGTAATTGACTTGACCTCTAATTGACTTGACCTGTAATTGACTTGACCTGTAATTGACTTGACCTCTAATTGACTTGTCTCTAATTGACTTGACCTCTAATTGACTTGACCTCTAATTGACTTGACCTCTAATTGACTTGACTTCTAATTGACTTGACCTCTAATTTACTTCTTATCTACAAACACTGCCTGCGTTCTCTGCACTTCTCCAGAAGTGTGCACTCATTCACTCCCCCTCATGCATTTTAAAAGCATTGCATTGGTGCAAGCATGACTGAAGGGAGTTTCTACCATGTTGCTCACACCTGTCCATTCTTTTTAAATCCATGAGGGGGAGTGTACGAGTGCACACTCCTGTAGAAGGGTGGAGTTGAACGCAGCCAGTGACATTAATTCGTAAGCTAGCTACCTCCAACCTGAGCAAGCTGCAGCATTTGTTACATTGACTACATACCGTCCGCTGTCTGTCTTTCTCCAACAGGTATGACCTGGATGCCACCGACATCCAGGAGAAATACCCGGACCTCTTCCAGGTCAACCTGGCTATCGAGGTGGAGCCCTGCGACAGGCCCAGCAACAAGACTCCGCCCTGGGACAACTTTGCCACCAAGGGCCTCAACCCCAAGATCCTTTTCTCCAGCCGGGACGAGCAGCAGGAGATCCTCACCAAGTTCGGTGGGTTTCACAGCTGTCAGTCCAAAAAAATATCTGTGTGGCCCTCCGTTGAATTTCGAAATCCCGATGTGGCCCTCAAGCCTCGAGGTACTAAACTCATGTTCTGTCCCACTCCTTCCCTCCCTCTCCCATAGGCAAACCAGAGCTTCCCCGGCAACCGGGCTCTTTCTCCGGATCTCTCTACGACACAGCGTCGCCTCAGTTGGAACAGACTCCCGATAGCTCCACCATGGAAGTAGAATCTCACCAGAGCACCGATACCAATGCCAACAACTTCTTCCAGACTCTGGAATGGGATGGTATGTCTCCTGTCGTCAAGCACGCCTTTCTAGTGCATAAACTATTGCTAAAAATAGTTATTTTGATTCCCTTTGCAAGGACCAATTACATGTTAGCTGGTTGATTGTATTGAAAATACTTGAAAGCTGCCATTGCCCTAAGCCAGGGGCACTCATATCCGGGTCTGGTGTACTGGTTTTCTGTTCTACCTGATCATTATTTGTGCCCACCTGGTGTCCCAGGACTAAATCAGTCCTTGATAAGAGGAGAAGAATGACAATCAGCAGTGTGAGGTTCCAGGTCTAGATTAGAATACTCCTGCCCTAAGCCTTTTTTGACGAGTCTCTGTCATATAGATGGGAGTGGACATGGAGCGGATGCCTCGGACAGCCTGGGAGGCACCATGGACGACCAGGACGAGCTCAGTGACGCCTCCGTGGACGAGGAGTCCTACTCCGGCCCGGCCGCCGAGCCCCTCTCCAGGGAGCCTAGCGAGTCCCTGTTCAACGCTGAGTTCCAGGCGGCCGCCACACCCCAGGAGTCCCCGGGGCCCAGCGACACGGCTGACCTGCTGGGCCTCACCTCCGACCTCGGCTCCGCCGCCCCCCCACAACCCTCCGGGGCCACGGCAGCAGGCGGCATGAAGGCCTCGTCTAGCAACAGTGACCTTCTCAACGACCTGTTTGCCCCCGCGCCCAGCGGCAAGGCTCGGCAGGGCAGTTCCAACAACCTGATTGGAGACGGAAGTGCCCAGGAGGACCTATTTTTCAGTAACCCCACTGCACCGCCTGACTCGGCCACCCCCAAACGTAAGCGTCTTAATGATGTGTCCGGTTTCTGCCTTGGTGTCAGTAGAAGTGGTAGCATGTTAGTATTTGTATCGTATCCACGCAGCCGAAACCTTAGTTGATCCCCTCTGCATTTCTGGCTATTTTTGTCCCACAGCAATGAATGACCTGTTTGACCCGTTCGGGATGGGATCTTCGTCCAGTCAGTCCGGACCCGACCTGTTTGGGGACCTGCTGAGCTCCGACACCAACACTAACCCCCCGCCAACCTCCAACTCCAGCCTCTTCAACCTCAGTAAGACACCAGTAATATGTATAAAAATAGAACTACAACTCCCATGTCCACTTCCATTCATTCAACGTTGTCTCTCGACAGACAAGCTGACCAACAATCCCCCTAAGATGACGTCGTCCGCCAGCCAACCAGACCTGCTTGGAGGGTGGGACAGCTGGGCATCGAGTGGTAGCATGGCCGCCGCCTCCTCCTCCAATAAGCCAGCCTTCCCAGGTAGGTAGTAGGTACTGGGGCTGTTAATCTAGGATTTAACACCGTAACAACTGTAGCAGATGACCACTGAGTTTATGGGTTTTTCCTCTTGGAATTCCAGCTCCCGGAGTGTCTTCCTTCTCCAAAGCAAAGTCTCAGAGCTTCGACCCGTTTGCAGACTTGGGAAAACTGGGCCCTACGCTGCCAGGTAAAAACAGACCCCAGTGACTCCTGGTACCATGCTGCAGTTAGACAGTGGGCTTTACTATCCATGGTCTGGGAATCAGATATCATCTCATGTATCTTTTATCTCTTCTACATCTTTTATTTCTAGGTTCCTCAAGTGGCAGTTTCTCAGGCCCAGGCTTCAACCCTAAGAGTGGGGCCTCCACCAAGAGTGCTGGGCAGCCGTGGCAGCAGTCTGGCCGGCCCGCCGCTGGCCAAAGCAAGCCTTGGATGGCCCCCAGCGCTGCTGCCCCCCAGCCAGCCAAGCCTGCCCCCCAGCCAGCCAAACCCAACTACAACCTTAACTTCAGTGTGATCGGGGGCCGAGAGGAGAGGGGCGTCAGGGGCCCAGGATTTGGTGAGACAACCAATCACATCACTGTCTGAGCATGTCCAATTGGTGACAGCCTCTGTGTAGAAAAGCTTACTCCCCCCGGTCTCCCTCTTTCTTTCCCCATCTAATTGAGGATCTTTGCTCTGTGACTGTATCTTCCAGGCCCAAAACCCAAAGTCAAAGAGGACGATTTTGAAGACCTGCTCTCCACTCAAGGTTTTGCCTCCAAGCTATCCGACAAGAAGGGACCCAGGACCATCGCAGAGATGAGGAAACAGGAGCTCTCAAAGAACATGGACCCCCTCAAACTGCAGGTACCACCAGCATGCCTTCTCCCAAATATACACAAGGGCCTCCTTCTTGGACACAGATTGCCTTGGCCAAGACTGAGATTCTCCATTTATAAAGCTTTTTAGTCCAGGGGTGTATTCACTAGGAACTAAACGGAAGCAAACAAGACGTGGAGGGACGTATACAGTTGAAGTCGGAAGTTTACATACACTTAGGTTGGAGTCATTAAAACTTGTTTTTCAACCACTCCACACATTTCTTATGTACAAACTATAGTTTTGGCAAGTTGGTTAGGACATCTACTTTGTGCATGACACACGTAATTTTTCCAACAATTGTTTACAGACAGATTATTTCACTTATAATTCACTGTATCACAATTCCAGTGGGTCAGAAGTTTACATACACTAAGTTGACCGTGCCTTTAAACAGCTTGGAAAATTCCAGAAAATTATGTCATGGCTTTAGAAGCTTCTGATAGGCTAATTGACATATTTTGAGTCAATTGGAGGTGTACCTGTGGATGTATTTCAAGGCCTACCTTCAAACTCAGTGCCTCTTTGCTTGATATCATGGGAAAATCAAAAGAAATCAGCCAAGACCTCAGAAAAATAATTGTAGACCTCCACAAGTCTGGTTCATCCTTGGGAGCAGTTTCCAAATGCCTGAAGGTACCACATTCATCTGTACAAACAATAGTACGCAAGTATAAACACAATGGGACCACGCAGCCGTCATACCGCTCAGGAAGGAGACGCGTTCTGTCTCCTAGAGATGAACGTACTTTGGTGCGAAAAGTGCAAATCAATCCCAGAACAACAGCAAAGGAACTTGTGAAGATGCTGGAGGAAACAAGTACAAAAGTATCTATATCCACAGTAAAACGAGTCCTATATCGACATAACCTGAAAGGCCGCTCAGCAAGGAAGAAGCCACTGCTCCAAAACCGCCATAAAAAAGCCAGACTACGGTTTGCAACTGCACATGGGGACAAAGATCTTACTTTTTGGAGAAATGTCCTCTGGTCTGATTAAACAAAAATAGAACTGTTTGACCATAATGACCATCGTTATGTTTGGAGGAAAAAGGGGGTGGCTTGCAAGCCGAAGAACACCATCCCAACCGTGAAGCACGGGGGTGGCAGCATCGTGCTGTGGGGGTGCTTTGCTGCAGGAGGGACTGGTGCACTTCACAAAATAGATGGCATCATGAGGAAGGAAAATTATGTGGATATATTCAAGCAACATCTCAAGACATCAGTCAGGAAGTTAAAGCTTGGTCGCAAATGGGTCTTCCAAATGGACAATGACTCCAAGCATACTTCCAAAGTTGTGGCAAAATGGCTTAAGGACAACAAAGTCAAGATATTGGAGTGGCCATCACAAAGCCCTGACCTCAATCCTATATAAAATGTGTGGGCAGAACTGAAAAAGCATGTGCGAGCAAGGAGGCCTACAAACCTGACTCAGTTACACCAGCTATGCCAGGAGAAATGGGCCAAAATTCACCCAACTTATTGGGGGAAGCTTGTGGAAGGCTACCCAAAACGTTTGACCCAAGTTAAACAATTTAAAGGCAATGCTACCAAATACTAATTGAGTGTATGTAAACTTCTGACCCACTGGGAATGTGATAAAAGAAATAAGAGCTGAAATAAATCATTCTCTCTACTATTATTCTGACATTTTACATTCTTAAAATAAAGTGGTGATCCTAACTGACCTAAGACAGGGAATTTTTACTAAGATTAAATGTCAGGAATTGTGAAAAATTGAGTTTAAATGTATTTGGCTAAGGTGTATGTAAACTTCCGACTTCAACTGTACCTACATTTGTCTAATAATAAATGATTGATTTCATTGCAAAAGTTTTCTGTTGCAAAGTGCTTAGCTACGTTTTTTTACAGAGTGCACTAATGAATACACCCCGCTCAGTCGTCGTCCTGGAAACCGTCCCTTGGTGTATGTATGTCTACACTGGGGGATAGTTCATTCTATGCATGTACATTTCTAGGCGAGTTTTAAATCTCTGAACCTGTTCTGAGGGATTCTGGTTTGTGTTCCTTGTACCAACCAAGATCCTGGATTGGATTGAGGGGAAGGAGCGGAACATCCGCGCCCTCCTCTCCACGCTTCATACAGTCCTGTGGGAGGGCGAGACGCGCTGGAAGCCCGTAAACATAGCAGACCTAGTCACTCCAGACCAGGTTAAGAGGTACTACAGGAAAGCTGCGCTGGTGGTGCACCCCGATAAGGTAACATCAATGTGACCTTCCCAAAACTACCCCGGTGACACGTTATTTAATAGGTTTATCAGTTAGTCATAACTGTGTCTACTCTCCCTGTGGTGAATGCATGCTCTTTGTGTTCTTCTGAAGACTGATCGCTGTAGATGAATGGCTGTGTTAAAGTTTAGTATTGTGGGCTTGAAAGCAATATCAAGTTCTCGATCTGTGAACGCTAACCGCAGTTGAACCTCCTTCCTTGCAGGCCGCAGGAAAGCCTTATGAAGATTACGCTACACTGATCTTTATGGAGCTCAATGACGCCTGGTCAGAGTTTGAGAACCACGGCAGCAAAGCCCTCTTCTAAGACTTACTGATTCGGGGCCCATATTGGGCCCTTGAGGGCTGCCCCCATCTTAGAGAGGTCTGCCAACCCTCCTGCCGTTGAGAAAAAGGCACCCTCCTTTATTTCTCATCTGCAGTTCAACATCATTGCCCGTCAAAAGACACTGCCACCGCACGCAAAGGGTGGCATGGGATGGGAGACCAGGGGTTCAAAAGCTTGGAAGATCGAGGGGTGGCGATGACAACAGAGACAATCACTGAGAAGACCAGATGGTCACCAACCAGGCTCCAGCCAATCTGAAATGTGGGGACTGTATGTCCACTCGACCACATAGACTTTGTTGCTGTGGACACTGCTCTATTCCTTTACACTCCGTGGATAGACCTTTCTGCATAATCCTCTCTTTCCGAGAGACCAATAGTTCATGCTGTTGTTGCTTCTTGACAGAACCATTCCCCCACTAACAGACTCCTCCCTCCTCCACAAGCCCTCTACCGTAAGCGCCTTGCTCTGCGGATGGCAAAAAAAAAAACAGCTTGCTCATCACTGCACCCCCCGGCAACATAGGAGACAAATAGAGAATATAGGGATTTCATCTGGTTGCTTTTTGCCATGTGGAATTGTGCAATATGTCTGGTCTTTTTTGTGTTCTCTGTCAATGATAGTCCTCACTTCAGTGTAAATATTTCCTCAATGATGTGGTTCTTTGGGTAGATACTGAGATGCCGATTTCAACAGAGGTCTGTGTGTTTGTGTTGTATAAGGACCTAACCACCTTGCTCTCTGTACCAGTAGATCATCATGACTTTCTTTTCCAATGATCTTGTGTTTATAATTCTACTTATTACACAAAAGGTTTACAGGGAGTTTTCATTGCAACCCTCCATTTTGTGTTCCATATCTGTTGTTTTTGTCTTTACTTTAAAATGGCCTCCTGATAGCCTCCTGAAGCTTTTTGTGTAATGTTTTCAGATATATATATATATATTTGGTTTTCATTTTTACCTCATGGACCAACTTAAAACAACTATTTTCTTATTGTTGTGGGGTATCATAAGTATCCATGACATTTAATTGCAGAACTTAATAAATAAAAAATAATATATGAATTGAATGTCTTGAATGTGACGGAGGGAAGGGGCGTTATAGGTGGTCTCATGAGACAGTTGTTTTGCCGAGCTGAAATCATTCCGAAGCGTCTTAACATGAATGTGCTTTTATATGAAGAAAAAAAAAATGTATGCACTCACTAACTGTAAGTCGCTCTGGATAAGAGCGTCTGCTAAATGACTAAAATGTCAATGTAAATATGGTCTTTGTTGGTTTGGATATATGTAGCTTCTGTTTTAGTCTTGCTTCCCTCTGTGTAACTTTGCTTTTATTTTTGACAGCGGGGTCCTCTTTTTTTTTTTTTTTTTTTACATTTTAGTCATTTAGCTCTCATCCAGAACAATTTACATGAGCAATTAGGGTTAAGTGCGTTGCTCAAGGGCACATCGACAGTTTTTTCACTTATTAGGCTCTGGGATTCAAAACAGCAACCTTCTAGTTACTGCCCCAACGCTCTTAACTGCTGGGCTACCTGCCACCCATCCCATGACCGGGATCATTGCTTCTGTTCATTCCCCACCTATTGAAACCTTATTTTGCCATTCCAGTAACACTATGGCTGTGTTTTACACGGCCAATTCAATTCAGATCTTTTGTCCAATTATTTGCAAAAGAGCTGATCTGATTGGTCAAAAGACCAATTAGTGGAAAAATATCAGAATTGGGCTGCCTGTGGAAATGCAGCCTATAAGGGGATACTTTATTGCAAGGCTGCCATTTTGACAGTATCATGTTAGTACACTGTAAGGAGAGAAAACAGTCTACTCAACCAAATTAAAATATGAATGTAGAGTTCAGGACAGAAATAAAGGTTTTGATCAGAGGCATGAAAATACTAAAGTGGATGGTATTGATACTGTCTGTAGTGTCTCAATGTGTCATGATGAGGAGACGGATGATAAAGGGTTAATGTTATGCGAAGAGCTGGCCATTGATATTGACTGAGTTTTCAAAGATCAAGGTATTTCACAAAGTGACAATATTATTGATGGGGTTTCTGAACATTGCGGTGAAAGAAATGTGATTTTGATAGATTACCATGGTGTATTCTTGAGACAAGTTGTGAAAATAATTATTACAAAATCAATGGCCATTTTACTAATGGTTATAAAGCCTTAAATGGTTTTGCTTATATCATGTTTGTCCTTTAATTCAGGCTAAGAGGGATATTGATCATATATTAAGATAGATGAGGCACAGCAAAGTGCTGTGAGCCTTTTATAGAAAAAGAAATCATCTGATAATCCCCATTTGTTGCTAACCATTGAGCTTCTCTACTATTATTAAAGTCACATATTGGTTTTACAGAATTATTTAAATGTCAATTTGATATTGAATATACTGTAAAAATCTCCATATTACTGTTATTTTTCTCTCCAGTTTTTCTGATTACAAGCATCAGCTGCTGAATGCAACTGACCAGTGTGATAGATTAACCATCAAAAGTCCCAATTTGTTAACATATCCAGGTAATAAAGAAACAATAACCCCCATGTTAGGCCGTACATTTAATTCCACATTGACTCTGGACTACCTTCTTTATAAAACGGAGGTTCCTTCCTGCTGACAAAGCTTTCTGTTTCCAATAGCTGTTTCTGGAATAACATTTATGACCATTAAAACACAATCATGAAAAGGTATCGTCTTGCATTATTCTCTGTGATTTCCCAGGGACCTCCGCCCAGGCATCCCGGCGACCACCATCATGTTAGCAAAAAAAAATCAGGTCTTGTCCTATCATCTGGTGAATGATAATGGCCAGTTAAGTGATCATTTTGTTCATATTAAAGGGATAGTTAGAGATTTTGGCAATGAAGCCCTTTATCTACTTCCCCAGAGTCGGATGAACAGCTACTGTTAGCATGCTAACTTTTCCAGTAGGCTAGTTAGCATTGCCTCATGAAACTACCTCTAACTTCCTTCATACTGGCCACAGAAACATAAAAATGGTAACCACTATGGTATTATGTTGCAGCTAGTGATAAAAAAAATCATAATTTTTTCTAGAAAATAAAAATGTGCAGATCCCCAGCAGTACACCAGTTTGAAAACCCATTGCCTACAGTACACACACACTTGTCATTTACCTATGGGCCCATTGTAGAAACAATGAAATCTAATTGAATGCCTAGTCTCCATCATTATTATTACATTTACATTTTAGTCATTTAGCAGACGCTCTTATCCAGAGCGACTTACAGTTAGTGAGTGTATAAATTTTTTATTTTTCATATACCAGACTCATAGTCTCATCCCCCATCTTCAGCCAAGTCTGCAAAGACACCAAACACACCCCTGGTGAGGTCATAGAAAGTGTGCACGAACACACACACAAAAAACTGTAATTCCAATTGATCATTAGCCTTTCTAGTGACTAGTAAATGGTGTGTTAATGGCCTGTAAGTTGGTTATCATGGCCTGTGTCTCCTCCACTCTTCTCCCCTGGGAAGAAAAAGGCTTCTTCTCTTCACTCGGTCCTACTCCCTGCATGGGCTAGGCCGATACACATCATGGTAGTTAGTTGTATCTTTGATAATACTAGGCCTACACCTACAGCACCCGATGTCATAGGAAGGCCAAAAATATCATCAAGGACATCAACCACCCGAGCCACTGCCTGTTCACCCCGCTATCACCCAGAAGGCGAGGTCAGTACAGGTGCATCAAAGCTGGGACCGAGAGAATGACAAACAGCTTCTATCTCAAGGCCATCAGACTGTTAAATAGCCATCACTAGCACATAAGAGGCTGCTGCTGCCTATTGAAATCACTGGCCACTTTAAGAAATGGAACACTAGTCACTTTAATAATGTTTACATATCTTGCACTACTCATCTCATAGGTATATACTGTATTCTATAATATTCTACTGTATCTTAGTCCATGCCGCTCTGTCATTGCTTGTCCATATATGTATACATTCTTAAATTCCATTCCTTACTAGATGTGTGTATTGGGTATATGTTGTGAAATGGTTAGATATTACTTGTTAGATATTACTGCACTGTCGGAGCTAGAAGCACAAGCATTTCGCTACACCCGTAATAACATCTGCTAAACACGTGTATGTGACAAATAACATTTGATTTGATGTGGTCTCAGATAATCATTAATAATCAGAGAACTGTAAACATCATTGCCCACAGCTGCTACAACCCTAACATAGCCTACTTCCTAAAACTATTGTCTAGTATTAACCTAGCTAACTAGTACACTTCCACCATCAACATTTAGTTAGCTGTAAATAGAAGGCTCTGGCCAATCAATACCTAGCTATCTAGCTAGTAGTTTTGCTTCCTTACAAATTTGCTAGGCTACCATAGCCAACAGCTGAAAAAAACCTCTCGAGTCATTTAATTTTTTTAAATATATATATATATAATTTCGGTGGTTATATTCCGATCATATAAGGAAAATAAGAGGAAAATTAAGAGGTTTTACAGACACACCCTTTGTTTGGTTTTCTAGACGAAGACGTCAAAATAAAAGACCGCGCGGCACACTTTTACAATATTTTACACGAGCTACTTGGGAAAGCTATTAGCTAGTTCTTTACTTTTACACTACTTTTGTTTTCCATATCACGGTCTCAATCTGTATTTGCTATTTCACAATAGACTGTGGCTTTCTCTTTTCAAGTTAGCTATGAAATGCACATCCAGTGGGATGAATCTGCGGAACTGACGCCTTGCGGGACATGTTTCCAGACGATCTGCTGGAAAGGTGGAACACTTCCTTTGTTGCTTCCGCTGCTTTTTTTTGCGTGTTTCTTATTAGCATCACGGCAGCAGCATTAGCGTCCCTGGTTTCCTGGTTTTGCCTTCAAAATAAAAGTCTGCTGTAAAACTCCACGCATACATTTACATTACATTTACATTTTAGTCATTTAGCAGACGCTCTTATCCAGAGCGACTTACAGGAGCAATTAGGGTTAAGTGCCTTGCTCAAGGGCACAACGACAGATTTTTCACCTAGTCGGCTCGGGGATTAGAACCAGCGACCTTTCGGTTACTGGCACAACGTTCTTAACCACTAAGCTACCTGCCGCCCCCATACGATAAGAAATCAATCATTTTTGTAGCTTTGCGAAGTGCATCATTTAAAAATGATGTTACAAAATTATAACTACACCTGTGAAAAATCTAAACTAAAGAGAATAACTACTTTATATAAGATAAATAATGTTATAAGGTGGAGCACATTGAGAAATGTTTGGAGCTTAAAGGAAAACGCAACCCAAAATGATTTCTGTGATGATTTCTGTATTTAATAATATTCTACAGACCTAGCACTAGAGTCTATATGTGGTCTATTGCATTGGGAGCAATGGAGTGGGTGGAGTAGAAAGTGTTGCTGGGCATATAGACCTCAGTCTATATGAAATAACACCCATGAGTCCCCTTTGAAAGAACACCATATATTGATTCTACAGACCCTACTGAGTAATCCCAACCCCACTTTCACATTGGCATAAATAATAGTTTTTCCTGTACTGTGCTGTATTTGAACCATATAGTGTTCAGGCACCCCATTTTAAGCTGTTGGACCACAGTAAAAGTCCAGCAACACTCCGTATTATTCAGAGCCCCATGAAATGACACTCTAGATCCAAACTGTTACAGACCTATATCCATCCTGCCCTGCCTTTCGAAAGTATTTGAAAGCCAAGTTAACAAACAGATCACCGACCATTTCGAATCCCACCGTACCTTCTCCGCTATGCAATCCGGTTTCCGAGCTGGTCATGGGTGCACTTCAGCCACGCTCAAGGTCCTAAACGATATTATAACCGCGATCGATAATAGACAGTACTGTGCAGCCGTCTTCATCGACCTGGCCAAGGCTTTCGACTCTGTCAACCACCGCATTCTTATTGGCAGACTAAATAGCCTTGGTTTCTCAAATGACTGCCTCGCCTGGTTCACCAACTACTTCTCAGATAGAGTTCAATGTGTCAAATCGGAGGGCCTGTTGTCTGGACCTATGGCAGTCTCTATGGGGGTGCCACAGGGTTCAATTATTGGCCCGACTCTTTTCTCCGTGTATATTAATGATGTCGCTCTTGCTGCTGGTGACTCTCAGATCCACCTCTACGCAGACGACATCATTTTGTATATATCTGGCCCTTCATTGGACACTGTGTTAACAAACCTCCAAACGAGCTTCAATGCCATACAACACTCCTTCAGTAGCCTCCAACTGCTCTTAAACACTAGTAAAACTAAATGCATGCTCTTCAATCGAACGCTGCTGGCACCCGCCCACCCGACTAGAATCACTACTCTCGACGGGTCTGACCTAGAGTATGTGGACAACTACAAATACCTAGGTGTCTGGTTAGACTGTAAACTCTCCTTCCAGACTCACATTAAGAATCTCCAATCCAAAGTTAAATCTAGAATCGGCTTCCTATTTCGCAACAAAGCCTCCTTCACTCATGCGTCCAAACATGCCCTCGTAAAACTGACTCTCCTACCGATCCTTGACTTCGGCGATGTCATTTACAAAATAGCCTCCAACACTCTACTCAGCAAATTGGATGTAGTCTATCACAGTGCCATCAGTTTTGTCTCCAAAGCCCCATACACTACCCACCACTGTGACCTGTACGCTCTTGTTGGCTGGTCCTCACTACATGTTCGTCGTCAAACCCACTGGCTCCAGGCCATCTATAAATCACTGCTAGGCAAATCCCCGCCTTATCTTAGCTCATTGGTCACCATAGCAGCACCCACCCGTAGTCTGCGCTCCAGCAGGTATATATATCTCACTGGTCATTCCCAAAGCCAACACCTCCTTTGGCCGCCTTTCCTTCCAGTTCTCTGCTGCCAATGACTGGAACGAATTGCAAAAATCTCTGAAGCTGGAGACTCTTATCTCCCTCACTAACTTTAAGCATCAGTTGTCAGAGCACCTTACCGATCACTGCACCTGTACACAGCCCATCTGAAATTAGCCCACCCAACTACCTCATCCCTATATTGTTATTTATTTTGCTCTTTTGCACCCCAGTATCTCTATTTGCACATAATCTCTTGCACATCTAGCATTCCAGTGTTAATACTAATTGTAATTATTTTGCACTATAGCCTATTTATTGTCTTACCTCCATAACTTGCTACATTTGCACACACTGTATATATATTTTCTGTTGTATTTTTGACTTTATGTTTTTTTACCCCATATGTAACTCTGTGTTGTTGTTTTTATCGCACTACTATGCTTTATCTTGGCCAGGTCGCAGTTGTTCATGATAACTTCTTCTCAACTGGCTTACCTGGTTAAATAAAGGTGAAATAAAAATAAAATAAAAATATAGTCCCCACCTCACATTTACATCAGCACGAATAATCGTTTTTTTCTTTGTAAGACAATATGTAATGACTTTACAGTAATTTGCATTGGGGGCATTTATTTGACCTTGGAACATGTTTTAAAACCCAAATATGAACAAATATGAATCATTGTTAATGCTTAGATAAATCATTTTTCATACATCATGAATAAATACAGGTTAATTACACTTTTCTACTATTACGTGGGAGACTTTTATTTAGAAAATGTCCGTGACCCGGAAGTACTTTTTTAGTGTTGCTGATGAGACGCTGATCTGTTTCTGCTTGGAGATTGGGGAGTATGCGAGATGTGCAAGAGGGTAGCAAGAGAAATGGAGTTGAATTAAAGTAACGGACGGACTTTGACACAAAGGGAGGGGTACTTCAGATCCAAGGATATCTAACTAAACGCAAGAGACGGGGAGAAACCACGATTAGTTCAAAATATTTAAATTCAAAGCCAACGCACTTGAAATGAAGCTATTAAAACCAAGTTGGGTCAGTCACAATGGTAAGCATTTGAATCGCGGTTGTGCTGGAATGAATAATAATAGTTGACCGAATCTTGACCCAAGCCAAGTTGCGCTTCTGTTGTTGTTTGGGGGGGTTAGCTAGCTGACGTTACACATTCCTGCAAAGCACAATGCTCTCTTGAATGAGCCATGCGCTAAGATGCTAACAATAGCTAGGTAGTCATATGCTTTTATTTGTTAAGGTTAGCTAGTAAGCATATTCCACAAAGCAGTAAGTAGATGGCAGTTGTTGCAAAACACCCCAATGCAGGCTGCAGAATTCATTTTAGACCGTGTCTACAGCTGGGGTGTATTTATTACCCCGATTCTGTTGCGAAAACGTTTCGTCTGTTGCAAAACGTTTCGTCTGTTGCAAAACGTTTCGTCTGTTTCAAAACGTTTCGTCTTTGCAAAACGTTTCGTAACAGGAACAGTTTACTCCAGACGCTCTTCAATGTGCAACAGAATCTGCATAATGATTACCCCCCTGGTGTTCTGAATCTGGCATTTTAGCTAGCTACAGCATTTTGGTGACATGCTTGTTAATACAATTTAAATCACGTCTGCTTCTCAGGGAAACCAATATTTTCTGTTGACATCCATCCTGATGGAACAAAGTTTGCCACGGGTGGTCAGGGTAAGGTCCTTCATTACTAAGCATGATAGCGATAACGGTATAACTGTTAGGGTTACATTAAAACAATACACCTCACTAAACAGTACAAGCATAAAGTACAGTTTGAGCATTTTCTCAAGCATACAATAATAATCATTCCACTATGCAGTATATATATTTTTTACACTTTAAATGAGATCAGTTGAATGGTACTGAGTTCTGTTTGGGTGCCATGTGTTGCAGGAGAGGACTCTGGGAAGGTTGTCATATGGAACATGGCCCCAGTGCTCAGAGAGGAGGATGAGAAGAAGGAGAACATCCCCAAGATGCTTTGCCAGATGGACAATCACTTAGGTGCTTATTTTCTCGCTGATGTTTGGTGTCTGCTGCTCAGATCTGACTGACATTAGAGAGACGAACCATATGCCTGCGTGTTTTGAATCTGACAAAAAAAAATCTGCATACAAGAGGTGCTGTGGGGTGAAGTTTCCCATCTCCCAATCCTAACCTTAACCCATTAGTGGGGGGAATGCAAAAACTGTCTCAAGATCAGTGTCTAGGGGCAAATTCACTCTACACCAGAAGCGGTGGATCACTTCTGTGTGAACTAAAACAGGTGTTGTGTTGATTTTATTTTTTAGCCTGTGTGAACTGTGTTCGCTGGTCAAACAACGGGCTTTACCTGGCCTCCGGAGGAGATGACAAGCTGGTCATGGTGTGGAAGAGAGCTGCGTACGTAACACACACACCCCCCCCCCCCCCCTAAACACATGCTGTGTTTGGTTGACATTTTCCTGTAATATTGTGCCATTGCAAATCACCATGTAAGTCACACGTGTCAAACTCATTCCCCGGAGGTCTGAGTGTCTGCAGGGTTTCACTCCTCCCTTGTACTTGTTTAATGAATTAAGGCACTAATTAGTAAGGAATTGAAAGGAAAAACCAAAAACCAGCAGTCACTAGGCCCTCCATGGAATGAGTTTGACACCCCTGATGTAAGTGATCTTTGATTTTCTCTGTGTTCACTTGAACAGCTTCATTGGACCGAGTACTGTATTTGGGTCGAGCAGTAAATTGGCCAACGTGGAACAATGGCGCTGTGTGACTATACTGAGAAACCACACAGGGGGTAAGTTGCCTGCTCTATGTAAAGATGGTTAATTTGGGAAGATTTTTCTCATGCCTGGTCACAGCTCAGATAATGCTCTACATTACATTGACAGTCGTTTGCCTGTGGGCACGTCCCGTCTGTGTTTTCAGATGTCATGGATGTGGCGTGGTCCCCTCACGACGTGTGGTTAGCCTCCTGCAGTGTGGACAACACCATTGTGATCTGGAATGCCCGCAAATTCCCAGGTGCGAGCCGAACGAGAACCACCATTTAAAAAATTTTTTTTTTTGTGTGAGGTATTTCTCACACGGCCTTCCTCTTCCCTCCAGAGATAGTGGCGTCGCTGAAGGGCCACACAGGCCTGGTGAAGGGGCTGACGTGGGACCCTGTAGGGAAGTACATCGCCTCCCAGGCTGACGACCACAGCCTGAAGGTGTGGAGGACCATGGACTGGCAGCAGGAGACCAACATCACCAAGCCCTTCAACGAGGTGAGCTCCACTCCGCCAAGCTGACAACCTTCCACACAACACAGTTGGGGTGTATTCATCAGTGCAAACCGTAGCAAAACACTTTTTGCAACAGTAAACGTTTTGCAACCAAAAACGACTGTCAACATAACGGTTGCTGTTAATAATGGCTGATCCCTGGCCGTGACTCCACTTTCCGAGGTTGTCTTTACATTTACATTTAAGTCATTTAGCAGACGCTCTTATCCAGAGCGACTTACAAATTGGTGCATTCACCCTATATATTTTTTTGGGGGGGGGGGGGGGGGGGGGGGGCTAGAAGGATTATACTTCATCCTATCCCAGGTATTCCTTAAAGAGGTGGGGTTTCAAATGTCTCCGGAAGGTGGTGAGTGACTCCGCTGTCCTGGCGTCGTGAGGGAGCTTGTTCCACCATTGGGGTGCCAGAGCAGCGAACAGTTTTGACTGGGCTGAGCGGGAACTATGCTTCCGCAGAGGAAGGGGAGCCAGCAGGCCAGAGGTGGATGAACGCAATGCCCTCGTTTGGGTGTAGGGACTGATCAGAGCCTGAAGGTACGGAGTTGCCGTTCCCCTCACTGCTCCATAGGCAAGCACCATGGTCTTGTAACGGATGCGAGCTTCAACTGGAAGCCAGTGGAGTGTGCGGAGGAGGGGGGTGACGTGAGAGAACTTGGGAAGGTTGAACACCAGACGGGCTGCGGCATTCTGGATGAGTTGTAGGGGTTTAATGGCACAGGCAGGGAGCCCAGCCAACAGCGAGTTGCAGTAATCCAGACGGGAGATGACAAGTGCCTGGATTAGGACCTGTGCCGCTTCCTGTGTAAGGCAGGGTCGTACTCTCCGAATGTTGTAGAGCATGAACCTGCAGGATCGGGTCACCGCCTTGATGTTAGCGGAGAACGACAGGGTGTTGTCCAGGGTCACGCCAAGGCTCTTCGCACTCTGGGAGGAGGACACAACGGAGTTGTCAACCGTGATGGCGAGATCATGGAACGGGCAGTCCTTCCCCGGGAGGAAGAGCAGCTCCGTCTTGCCAGGGTTCAGCTTGAGGTGGTGATCCGTCATCCATACTGATATGTCGGCCAGATATGCAGAGATGCGATTCGCCACCTGGTTATCAGAAGGGGGAAAGGAGAAGATTAGTTGTGTATCGTCAGCGTAGCAATGATAGGAGAGGCCATGTGAGGATATGACAGAGCCAAGTGACTTGGTGTATAGGGAGAAAAGGAGAGGGCCTAGAACTGAGCCCTGGGGGACACCAGTGGTGAGAGCACGTGGTGCGGAGACAGCTGGGGGGGGGGGCGTGTGATATGGAAAAAAAACACATGTCCAATTCATTTACATTTACAATTCACACATGTATAGTATAATATATATATATATGTGTGTGTGTGTGTGTGTGTGTGTGGTGTATAATACACACTATACATGTGTGAAATTGGACAAATGTAAGCACCCACATTATTATTATTATTATTATAAAAAATACTATTCGACATATTCAGGTACGTCTCTTCCCGTTTCGGCCTGTTTGCTTCTATTTAGTTCCTAGTGAGTTCACCCCAGCTGTCACTCTCCCTGGGGCCTCCCTTTTGTCTCAGGCTTGATGTTTGTAATTTCTGTTGCCCCACTCATTGACCACTAACGCCCTGTTCTCTGTTCCTCTGTGTTGTTGACCAGTGCGGGGGGACCACCCACGTGCTGCGCCTCAGCTGGTCTCCCGACGGACAGTACCTGGTGTCGGCCCACGCTATGAACAACTCGGGGCCAACCGCTCAGATCATTGAGAGGGACGGCTGGAAGACCAACATGGACTTTGTGGGCCACCGCAAGGCTGTCACTGTTGTGGTGAGGGCCAGTGATCAATCAATCAAATGTAATTTATAAGGTCCTTTTTACATTAGCACTTGTCACAAAGTGCTTTACAGATACCCAGCTTAAAACCTACCTTAAAACCCCAAACAGCAAGCAATGCAGAGCAGAAGCACAGTGGCTAGGAAAAACTCCCTAGAAGTAAGGAACCTAGGAAGAAACCTGTAGAGGAACCAGGCTCAAAGGAGTGGCCATAGGCAGGAACCCAGGAAGAAACCTAGAGAGGAACCAGGCTCAGAGGAGTGGCCAGAGGGCAGAACCTAGAAGACACCTAGAGAGGAACCAGTGCTCGAGGATTTGGCCAGGGCACTAACCTGAGGAAGAAACCTAGAGAGGAACCATGCTCAGGAGTGGCCAAGAGCATGAACCCAGAAGAAACCTAGAGAGGAACCAGGCAGTCTCGAGGAGTAGCCAGAGGCATAACCCGTAACCCAGGACGAACCTAGAGATGAACCAGGCTCGATGATGGTCAGAGGCAGGAAACCCAGGAATAACCTAAGAGGAACCAGGCAGGCTCAGATGAGTGGCCAAGGCACACCTAGGAAGAAACCTAGAGAGGAACCAGTCTCATAGATTGGCCAGAGGCAGGAACCAGGAAGAAACCTAGATAGGAACCAGTCTCATAGGAGTAGCCAGAGGCATAACCCAGGAATAAACCTAGAGAGGAACCAGGCTCATAGGAGTAGGTCAGAGGCAGGAACCCAGGAGAAACCTAGGAGGAAACCAGGCCTCAGAGGAGTGGCGCAGAGGCAGTAACCTAGGAAGAAACCTAGAGAGAAACCAGGCTCAGAGGAGTGGCCAGAGGCAGTAACCTAGGAAGAAACATAGAGAGGAACCAGGCTCAGAGGAGTGGCCAATCCTGTTCTGTGGACTCTGAATGACATTAATGGATTATTTTTTATTTTGGACTCCACCTGGAATCCCTTAGAAGATATGATTGATTTTGTATTTTTGTACATTGCCCTGAGAACTAGTCAGCTTACATGTTAGGCTTTCTGGTAAACACTCTTATTCTTGTAAGGGTGATAGTGGATGCACATTGAATAGGAATCTGAGTAATACAACTACTGCTTTATGTGCAAAACACTTTCCAAAGCATGTTGTCACAGCAACATGCGATTATTAAACAAGTTTGGAGGGTGATCGTTCCACAAGCATGCAGACACTGACATACGTTTAGAGGGTAGAATTGGGATGGCATTTCAGCTCTAGAATCCCTCAGTCTCCCAATCACCTCACTCTGCTAATCTCTCTCTCTCACTCACCTTCTGCAGAAATTCAACCCCAAAATATTCAAAAAGAAACAGAGGAATGGGAGTTCTCCCAAACCCAGCTGTCCCTACTGCTGCTGTGCTGTGGGAAGCAAAGACCGCTCCCTCTCCGTTTGGGTAAGTACCGTCTGTCTGTGTCATAGACATTAAAACCAGTAGATAGTGATAGCGCTGACGTCATCCACGTATTCCTGTGGAAAACTCCCGATGGCGCATGGAGACGGAAGTATTTGAATTTGAAGGGGTCCATATTGCTGAATGGGGCTGAATAGCACCAAAAAATAAGGATCATGGTTGCCATAACTAGCAAAGGATCATGGTCGATGTAGTCATTTTCATCCTGCCTGAGAGAGTCAACCGGGAGCCTCCTCGTAACCTGCCGGCCCGTGATTGGTCTGTGTCAGTACGTGGTCCTGTGCGATGACGAATGTAGTAGTCTGAATGGATCGCTATTTAATTAAATATCTTGATACGTAGCGAACTTTAAAATAATTCACAGTGGGGATCGAACTTGATCATAATCAATTAATTTTAGAGGCCAAAACGAGCGTCAATTTTTTTTCCTGTTTGGCCGTTCTTGCGATCATAATTTACGTAGGCTTTCTAGGGCAGACCAGACAGCTAGGTTGCTACGCAGTAGCCGACCAGCAGCGCTTGTGACTTCACGCTCCTGACCGGACACTGGGGGCCTGGTCTGTGGACAGGATCTTTGTTTATCCTCTATACCTCATTCAAACTGACATATCCCCTAGCAAAAAATCGTTTTTTCCTGTTTTTTGTTGTCTTGATTGTTTAATTGCATCCAATCTGTTCACACATTTTAGACAGATAATGAGACACACCCCTCTATCAATGTGTCTTGACAGCTGTATGTGTACATATGGAGGTCTCTGTAGAATCCCCAACAACATATTTATAATAAACTGTACCAACTCAGTTTTGTGTGTGTTTGTGGGCGTACCTCTCCGTTTCCAGCTGACGTCTCTGAAGCGCCCTCTAGTGGTCATCCACGACCTGTTTGATAAATCCATCATGGACATCTCATGGTGAGAGCCACCTCCTCCCACCACCTTCCCCCCTCACTGAATTAATCTACTTTGACATATAATACATGTTTTTAGAGACCGATAGTTTCTTAGCCTGGGTTCCAGTCTGTTTCTTAGCCTGGGCGCCAGTATGTTTCTAAGCCTGGGCTCCAGTCTGTTTCTGCTCGCTTGCCAACTCCTTGTGGAATTGTCAAGCCAATGGAGTAGGCAAGAGCCAAACAGAACTGGGACCAGGCTAGCAGTTTGATGATATTAGTTTTCTCAAAAGTGTATAGAGATACGTGTGCTGTTAGTTACAGTGTGCGGTGGCGTTTTGCTCCCTGCTCCACTTAGGACCTTGAATGGGCTGGGTATCTTGGTGTGCTCCATGGACGGCACAGTGGCGTACCTCAACTTCTCTCAGGACGAGCTCGGGGACCCCCTCAACGAGGATGAGAAGGTCAGCCAACTGCTCATGTCCTTTGACGTGACCCCACCAGTGTTGGAGTCAATTCCATAACTTCAATTCCAATTCAATTCCCTCTCTCTGTACATTCTCTGTAAATATAAAGTTTCCCCCAAAAAAACTTTGCAGAGAAGGTAGCGCTTTAGTTTCCCCCATAAGCTTTGCAGCGAAGGTGGCATTTATATTTCTCACAACAACCCAGAACACTTGTAGAACAACCAAGTGCTTAGTTTAGCAAATTTCAGTTCACATATATATTTTCTCTCCCTGCTGTGGCACTGGGCCCGTCAAGTGTCACTTTAGCTTTCAAGAGACTCCCTCCAGGTCCAGAAGGTGTTTGTCTAGTGGACTAGGAGAGGCTCTTCTAGCTAGCTAACACTTATCCATCCGTCTCCCTCCTCCATCCAGAATGCCATCCACCAGAACATCTATGGGAAGAGCCTGGCCATCACCACCGAGGCACAGCTCTCCACCACCATCATTGAGAACCCGGAGATGCTCAAGTACCAGCAGGAGAGGCAGCGTGCGGAGCAGGCCAACCACAGGATGGCCCACGAGGCCCAGGCCCACAAACTCACCAGCGTGGTCAACGGAGAGTCCCTGGAGGACATCCGCAAGGTAGGACGGGCCAGCTAGTTTACCCAAGGTACAGATCTGGGATCCGTTTTCCCTCCCACAATCCTAACCAAAAGTGGGGAATCTGCAAAACTGACCCAAGATCAACATCTAGGCCAGGGGTGACATCTGCAAGGTAGGACGGTACCAGGGTTGGGGTCAATTCCATTTCAATTCCAGACAATTCAAGAAGTACACTGAAATTCCAATTATTTTCAATGCTTTTAATGAGGGACATTTGGAATTGGAATTTGGTTTACATTTCGGAATTGACTGAAATTGAAATGGAATTGACCCCAACCCTGATAAGTTCAGATCTAGGATCAGCTTACCCTCCCCCAATCCTAACATTACCCATTAGTGGAGAATCTGCTAAATGGACCCAAGATCAGCATCTAGGGGCAACTTCACCCTACTCCGCACGGCAACAATGCACCCCAGCCAGGAAGCCCTACCTCAGAGCAAGACCAGTACAGCACTACAGTCTGATTAACACTATAAAGCCTAACCCAGCCAAGTCTGATCAACACTATAAAGCCTAACCCAGCCAAGTCTGATCAACACTATAAAGCCTAACCCAGCCAAGTCTGATCAACACTATAAAGCCTAACCCAGCTAAGACTGATTAACACTATAAAGCCTAACCCAGCCAAGTCTGATCAACACTATAAAGCCTAACCCAGCCAAGTCTGATCAACACTATAAAGCCTAACCCAGCTAAGACTGATTAACACTATAAAGCCTAACCCAGCCAAGTCTGATCAACACTATAAAGCCTAACCCAGCCAAGTCTGATCAACACTATAAAGCCTAACCCAGCCATGTCTGATCAACACTATAAAGCCTAACCCAGCTAAGACTGATTAACACTATAAAGCCTAACCCAGCCAAGTCTTACCACTATAAAGCCTAACCCAGCAAGCTGATCAACACTAGAAGCCTAACCAGAAGCTGATCAACACTATAAAGCCTAACCAGCCATGTCGATCAACACTATAAAGCTAACCCAGATAAGACTGATTAAAACACTATAAAGCCTACCCAAGCTAAGACTGATCAAACACTATAAAGCCTAACCAGCTAAGATGATACACTTAAAGCCTAAACCAGCTAAGACTGATCAACACTATAAAGCCTAACCCAGCTAAGATCTGATCAACACTATAACCGCCTCAACCCAGATCCAAGTCTGATTCATACACTATAAAGCCAACCCAGCCTAGTCTGATCAACCACTATAAAGCCTAACCCAGCTCAAGTCTGGATTAACACTATAAAGACCTAACCCAGCCCAAGACTGATCAACACTATAAAGGCCTAACACCAGCTAGCACTGATTTAACACTATAACAGCCTAACCCAGCCTAAGCACTGATTAACACTATAAAGGCCTAACCCAGCTAAGACTGATTAACACTATAAAGCCTAACCCAGCCAAGTCTGATTCACACTATAAAGCCTAACCCAGCCCAAGTCTGATTAACACTATAAAGCCTAACCCAGCTAAGACTAATTAACACTATAAAGCCTAACCCAGCCAAGCAGAACCAAGCTGTACAGGGCTGGCCGGGTTATGCATCTAACGTAGTTGCTGGAATGGAAAAATTATGTGAAAATAAAATATCCAAGCCAGAACAGTATGGTTCCGGTCAGTCATCTAATGTGAGTCAGAAACACATGCCCAGCCCAGTACATCTGTCATTCAGTCCTCCATTTTGCAGGTGTTCGGTTCTCTCCACTGTTTGATTTACGATGACATTATTGTATTTAGTAATTTCCCTACATTTTGACATTGGCTTCATTGAGGGGATGTAATGAAATGATGGGCATATAGGAAATCAATGAACATATCGATATGGATAACGTAAACCAGAACACCAATGCATAACATTGACCCACAGCTCCCTGTATGGTTGTGTCTAGGGTGCAACTTTCCCAAAATTCCCCGGTTTTACAGAAATCCTGGTTGAAAGATTCCTGGAATTACGAGGGAATAAGGAGGAAATCCTCTATTCAAAATGTCAGGAAAACCAGGGACTTTTGCAACCCTAGTTCTGTCTTTATTTTGTTTTGCCACCTTTGTCCTTGCATAGTCTCGACAGACCTTCTCTCCCTAAAAGGCAGATATCAGGGCCCGTATTCGTTAAAGGGATATTCCAGCGATTTGACAAAAGTTTCCTTACTTTGAAAGCTGTCTATGGACAAGGATTAGCAACATTTGCATTTCGGGATCAATTTCCCATGTAAGTCAATCTCTCCCGCTTAGCATGTATCAAATTTCATGCTGAACTGTCCCTTTAAACATCTCAGATGTTTATATAATCTGTCCATATAATCGTATTCATTGCGATCTAAAAGGCTAAACTGATCCTAAATCAGCACTCCTACTTTTTGTCTGAAGGAACCTTAAAATCTGAATGAAAACGGTTCTCATTGTTAACAAGACAAATGGACGTTGAGATGAGTTGGTATTATGTTGTCATGTATTCTGTGGCCTTGCACATGTCTTAGTGGTCTCTGTCGTTACCTTGGATATTTCTTTTCTTCTCTTAGAACCTGTTGAAGAAACAGGTTGAGACAAGGACTGCAGACGGCAGGAGAAGGATCACTCCTCTCTGCATCGCCCAGCTCGACACAGGGTAACACACACCTTTCCATTTATTCTAGTCCAGCCATTACAAATGGGCCCTTCCGCCGATTTTCTTCCTCCACCAGCTGTCAAACAGAGCAGTTACACTGTAGAACTCCATTTGGAAGACCGCTTCATTCTATTTTGGTTGTTTTGGTTTTAATATATGTTTATTTGGGGATTCATTTTTTTTCTCCCATGTTAAAAACATGCGAATACATTGTCAAGCCAAATCACATACAATTTCATACATTTGTTGCGTTCACCAGCTAGAAAACCAAATGTCGCTCGAACAGAAGGGGGAACTAACAAAGACCAAACAAAACAGGTGGGGTTTTAGGAGGGGTTCTGAAAAACACTCATGGGGGTGTCCACTGAAACCTAAAAAACACCCACCACGAGCGCCCACTAAATGTGCCCAAGAAGAGGCAAACAAAAGAAAAACCCACACCAAACTTAGACAGGAAGCAAACCAAAAAGGTAGAGGAAAACAAAATCAGACCAAGGAATGTTTTTCTAGAAATCAAATGGGGAGAGCCAACTTAAAGGTGTTTACCCTCCGCATCTTTCGAGATAACTGGAGTGCTGGGCCAGCCACTCTTAAATAGCACCTTGGCCAGCACAGGTGAAACACCTTCCCACTAACGAGATGGAAACCAGCACAGGTGTAACCCATACTGACTAACGAGGTTACACCAATCGTCGCGCTAACGAGCTATACCTTCCCCTTTAAGACAACAAATATATCCTATATTTTTGTTAGACAACAGAAAACAATGTTAATTTCACAACATAATCAACTTAAATGTGTCGCTACTTATAATGCGTCGCATCCTCCAATATAAACTGGCTGTCAACAATTAAATACAAGACAAAAACAGCCACATTTGTTTGTATAATTTTTTTTACTGTTTGCTAACATTCACAAGTTTTGAGAAACGGGTCAAATAAAACTCATCCACCTGGAACGTGCGCAACCAAAACAATATGGCAAAACAAATTGTGAGCAACAACTGGCTAAACGCAAAACACAACTTATTGACTGCCCACCTTTTGAGAGACAATCAGCAACCAAGTTGTCCTTACCACGGACATGTCTGATTTCAAGGGGAAACTCCTGCAATATCTGTAGTAACTTGCCTCTCGTGATTTTCCTCAGTGGAATTTGTTTGATTGGGGCAGAGTCCCCAACGTCAATGGCATGCTCTAGTACATTTGTCTGTTGGCACATCTGAGAATAAAACCTGATATTCTAAAAGCAGTGCAACAATGTCGCCTTTTTCCTCAGGTGACAAGTGTGCCAAAAAGGCATCAAGGTTTTCTAGAATCTCTGAGTTACTCAACCGTCCTACCGTCACAGGGTGTATTGGACTTTCCTCATACTCTTGAGGAAGACTAGAGTCAATGGTGACAGCAGTGGCTACATGCAGAACATCACTACCAGTTTCCACTGACTTCTCCGCCCGATCGTAATGGGTGAAGTATGGTTTCAACATGTTGACGTGACACAGCCGTTTTATTTGTTCTGCGCTCAAATCAAATCAAATTTTATTGGTCACATGTGCCGAATACAACAGGTGCAGACATTACAGTGAAATGCTTACTTACAGCCCTTAACCAACAGTGCATTTATTTTTAACAAAAAAAGTAAAAATAAAACAACAACAAAAAAAGTGTTGAGAAAAAAAAGAGCAGAAGTAAAATAAAGTAACAGTAGGGAGGCTATATATACAGGGGGGTACCATTGCAGAGTCAATGTGCGGGGGCACCGGCTAGTTGAGGTAATATGTACATGTGGGTAGAGTTAAAGTGACTATGCATAAATAATTAACAGAGTAGCAGCAGCGTAAAAAGGATGGTGTGGGGGGGCAGTGCAAATAGTCCGGGTAGCCATGATTAGCTGTTCAGGAGTCTTATGGCTTGGGGGTAGAAGCTGTTGAGAAGTCTTTTGGACCTAGACTTGGCACTCCGGTACCGCTTGCCATGCGGTAGCAGAGAGAACAGTCTATGACTAGGGTGGCTGGAGTCAATTTTGCGGGCCTTCCTCTGACACCGCCTGGTATAGAGGTCCTGGATGGCAGGAAGCTTGGCCCCAGTGATGTACTGGGCCGTACGCACTACCCTCTGTAGTGCCTTGCGGTCGGAGGCCAAGCAGGTGCCATACCAGGCGGTGATGCAACCAGTCAGGATGCTCTCGATGGTGCAGCTGTAGAATTTTTTGAGGATCTGAGGACCCATGCCAAATCTTTTCAGTCTCCTGAGGGGGAATAGGCTTTGTCGTGCCCTCTTCACGACTGTCTTGGTGTGTTTGGACCATGATAGTTCGTTGGTGATGTGGACACCAAGGAACTTGAAGCTCTCAACCTGTTCCACTACAGCCCAGTCGATGAGAATGGGGGCGTGCTCAGTCCTCTTTTTTTTCCTGGAGTCCACAATCATCTCCTTTGTATTGGTCACATTGAGGGAGAGGTTGTTGTCCTGGCACCACACGGCCAGGTCTCTGACCTCCTCCCTATAGGCTGTCTCATCGTTGTCGGTGATCAGGACTACCACTGTTGTGTCGTCGGCAAACTTAATGATGGTGTTGGAGTCGTGCCTGGCCATGCAGTCATGGGTGAACAGAGAGTACAGGAGGGGACTGAGCACGCACCCCTGAGGGGCCCCCGTGTTGAGGATCAGTGTGGCAGATGTGTTGTTACCTACCCTTACCACCTGGGGGCGGCCCGTCAGGAAGTCCAGGATCCAGTTGCAGAGGGAGGTGTTTAGTCCCAGGATCCTTAGCTTAGTGATGAGCTTTGAGGGCACTATGGTGTTGAATGCTGAGCTGTAGTCAATGAATAGCATTCTCACGTAGGTGTTCCTCTTGTCCAGGTGGGAAAGGGCAGTGTGGAGTGCAATAGAGATTGTATCATCTGTGGATCTGTTGGGGCGGTATGCAAATTGGAGTGGGTCTAGGGTTTCTGGGATAATGCTGTTGATGTGAGCCATGACCAGCCTTTCAAAGCACTGCATGGCTACAGACGTCAGTGCTACGGGTCGGTAGTCATTTAGGCAGGTTATCTTAGAGTCCTTAGGCACGGGGACTATGGTGGTCTGCTTGAAACATGTTGGTATTACAGACTCAGTCAGGGACATGTTGAAAATGTCAGTGAAGACACTTGCCAGTTGGTCAGCACATGCTCGGAGTACACGTCCTGGTAATCCGTCTGGCCCTGCGGCCTTGTGAATGTTGACCTGCTTAAAAGTCTTACTCACATCGGCTACGGAGAGCGTGATCACATAGTCATCCGGAACAGCTGGTGCTCTCATGCATGCTTCAGTGTTGCTTGCCTCGAAGCGAGCATAGAAGTGGTTTAGCTCGTCTGGTAGGCTTGTGTCACTGGGCAGCTCGCGGCTGTGCTTCCCTTTGTAGTCTGTAATAGTTTTCAAGCCCTGCCACATCCGACGAGCGTCAGAGCCAGTGTAGTACGATTCAATCTTAGTCCTGTATTGACTCTTTGCCTGTTTGATGGTTCGTCGGAGGTCATAGCGGGATTTCTTATAAGCGTCCGGGTTAGAGTCCCGTTCCTTGAAAGCGGCAGCTCTACCCTTTAGCTCAGTGCGGATGTTTCCTGTAATCCATGGCTTCTGGTTGGTGTATGTACGTACGGTCACTGTGGGGACGACATCATCGATGCACTTATTGATGAAGCCAGTGACTGATGTGGTGTACTCCTCAATGCTGTCTGAAGAATCCCGGAACATGTTCCAGTCTGTGCTAGCAAAACAGTCCTGTAGCTTAGCATCTGCGTCATCTGACCACTTTTTTATTAACCGAGTCACTGGTGCTTCCTGCTTTAGTTTTTGCTTATAAGCAGGAATCAGGAGGATAGAGTTATGGTCAGATTTGCCAACTGGAGGGCGAGGGAGAGCTTTGTATGCGTCTCTGTGTGTGGAGTAAAGGTGGTCTAGAGTTTTTTTTTCCTCTGGTTGCACATTTAACATGCTGGTAGAAATTAGGTAGAACCGGTGTGGCGATGATGTAATCCAGTTTACAAATTTGTTTTCACTATAAGCTAAGGGCCTAAAAAACGACCTTGTAAGAGTGTGCAAAGCTGTCATGAAGGCCAAGGGTGGCTACTTTGAAGAATCTCAAATATAAAATATATTTCGATTTGTTTAACACTTTTTTTTTTTGGTTACTACATGATTCCATATGTGTTATTTCATCGTTTTGATGTCTTCACTATTATTTTACAATGTAGAAAATAGTAAAATTTAAGAAAAACACTTGACTGAGTAGGTGTCCAAACTTTTGACCGGTACTGTACATCCACCTCCTTTTCGTTGAAAGGTGGAACAAGTCAGTTGTTCCGACCAAGATCAAACGCTGTTGAGGGTGGCCTCCTGTAGCTCAGTTGGTAGAGCATGGCGCTTGCAACGCCAGGGTTGTGGGTTCGATTCCCACGGGGGGCCAGTATGAAAAATGTATACACTCACTAACTTTAAGTTGCTCTGGATAAGAGCATCTGCTAAATGATTAAAATGTAAATAAATAAAAAATGAGTGTGTAGGATGGTCTGACTACAGAAAGTATTCAGACCCCTTGACTTTTTCCACATTTTGTTACGTTACAGCCTTATTCTAAAATGGATTAAATAGTTTTCCCCCCTCATCAATCTACACACAATACCCTATAACGACAAAGCAAAAACAGGTTTTTAGACATTTTTGCTAATTTATTAAAATTAAAAAACTGAAATAATATATTTACATAAGTATTCAGACCCTTTACTCACTACTTTGTTGAAGCACCTTTGGCAGCGATTACAGCCTCGAGTCTTCTTGTGTATGACGCTAAAAGCTTGGCACACCTGTATTCTCCCATTCTTCTCTGCAGATCCTCTCAAGCTCTGTCAGGTTGGATGGGGAGTGTTGCTGCCGGTCTCTCCAGCAATGTTCGATCAGTTTTAAGTCCGGGCTCTGGCTGGGCCACACAAGGACATTCAGAGACTTGTCCCAAAGCCACTCCTGCGTTGTCTTGGCTGTGTGCTTAGGGTCGTTGTCCTCCCCACATCATGATTATGCCACCACCATGCTTCACCGTAGGAGTGGCTTCGGGACAAGGTTGCCAGGTTTCCTCCAGATGTGACATTATGTGACGCTTTGCATTCAGGCCAAAGAGTTCAATCTTAGTTTCATCAGACCAGAGAATCTTGTTTCTCATGGTCTGATAGTCTTTAGGTGCCTTTTGGCAAACTCCAAGTGGGCTGTCATGTGCCTTTTACTGAGGAGTGGCTTCCATCTGGCCACTCTACCATAAAGGCCTGATTGGTGGAGTGCTGCAGAGATGGTTGTCCTTCTGCAAGGTTCTCCCATCTCCACAGAGGAACTCTAGAGCTCTGTCAGAGTGACCATCGGGTTCTTGGTCACCTCCCTGACCAAGGCCCTTCTCCCCCGATTGCTCAGTTTGGACTGGCGGCTAGCTCTAGGAAGAGTCTTGGTGGTTCCAAACTTCTTCCATTTAAGAATGATGGAGGCCACTGTGTTCTTGGCAATAGGCCACTAGGTTTGCCTCCGAAAAGACAAACTAAAAGAAAAACCCAGAACAACTTAAGATAGGGAGTAAAAAAAAACGGGAAACATAACAAATCAGGCTTCTTTCAAACTTAAAAGGTTGAGCTCAAAATCGCACCTCAGCTGACGTGAAGTGTAGCTCTCCTAACCATCTCTCATGTTCAACTGGAGCACTGGGCCACTCCTAAATATCCCCTGGGCTAACACTGGTGAAACACCTTCCGACTAACGAGATGGACAAGCCAGCACGGGTGTAACACATACTGACTAGCAAGGTGACACCAATCGGTGCTCCCTCGAAATAGAAATAACCTGTAACACATTTTACAAATAATTGTCAATATATTACATTAACACAGGGATATTCTTATTTCAGTTGGTTTGAGCTCTCACTGTTTCTGTTTGAATTCTCAGGGATTTCTCCCCGGCCCTCTTCAACAGCGTACCCATCCTCCCTGGGTCTTCCAGCCAGCTCACCTCCCAGCTTTCCTCGGACTCCAACACGGCCACCTCCAATTTGGACCCCCTGTCCACCCCACTGGGGGGCAAGGCCCCAGATGACGCCAAGGACGGGTCAGTTGTCTTATCTGTCTCCTCTCCATCTCTCTTTCTCTCCTGCTCTGCTTCCACCCCTCCTTACCGGACCATTCGTTTATTATTTCGCTCTCCTTCCATTCCTGACAGTGTTTCCGGTGCCATGGCCCAGGCCTCGTCTCTTAACACCACAGCCATGAAGTCCAACCTGCTCCTAACCTCCTCCACCAAGATGGAGCCAATGAAAGCCCTTGACTCCAGGTTCACAGAGAGGTCAAAGGTCATGCCCGGGGTCACCATCTCCTCCATGGCGGGACTCACCCCGCTAGACAGGTAAGGGAACGGAACCATCAAGCTTCTCCAAAAGTCTTTTATGATCAGTAGACCGTGGCTGATTTGAGGCAGACAATGCTGGAATGTTTTTATTGTATTTGTTATTGGTCAATTCCACATCTGAGATTCTTGTTATCTGAACATGGAAAAAATAAAACACTATCAGCAGTTTAGGACGTACACATGTTCATATGAACACAACAAAAACAACAGGTTGAATGCTAGCCTTGTTTTTAACGGAGCAATCCACCTTTGAGTGACACGTCTGCTTGGAACAGATGTCAAGTGATGACCAGTTTTTTTATTTTTTATTCACTGAACTAGATGGTTCACTTTTTGTTTGACTTGGTGGTTGTCTCTCATAGAAATATAATTACTAGAAAGGGTGTCTTTATTCAAGTCAATGAGGCCATAATGGATGGACCAGTGAACAGGAAGTGCAGCTGGAAGTGTCCCCATTAACCAGGAAGTAGGGCAGGAAGTGTCCCCATTAACCTGGAAATAGGGTAGGAAGTACGGCAGGAAGTGTCCCCATTAACCTGGAAATAGGGTAGGAAGTACATTATTCAAATTGGGCTTAACAGTCAACTCAACTGCCATTACAAAAATTGTAATGAAAATTCCATATTACCAAGCATTGTTTCCCCTAGGATCATATATGGGAAACACTGCTAAGGCGGTTTGGGCATGGGTTAATGGAACAAATGGTAAGTATTTCTGTGGGTGTTGTCCTCCTGTTGTAGAGTGAAAGACAGCAGCACTTTAAAGGATCTCAAGGACGAGACGAGCAGCGACAGCGAGGACAAGATGGCTGTGGTGAAGTCCCTCTCCTTCACCAAGAGGAAAGCCCTCGACGTGGACGGAGGGGACAACCACGTGGAGAAGAGGAAAACCCTCGACATGGACGGAGGGGACAACCAGGTGGAGAAGAGGAAAAAGGGACGGCCCAGGAAAATGGACACGAAAATGATGACGTCCGTGTCCCACCAACCCTTACAGCAGGTAATGCCAGTGGATTTCGCGTAATCTCATGACTTCACACATCATTTCTGATAGAAGATTCTATCAGAATATTCAAGATATCCTTGTCTTTGAATGTAATGGTTTTGATTGGATATGGGATCAACAAACTGATTGGCTGATTGGATATGGGATCAACAAACTGATTGGCTGTGTCTGAAATGACACCCTTATTCCTATAGTCAAGGAATATTCAACCTGGGATCCCCTAAAGGTCCGCTGAGGTACTGCAGGGGGTCCATGAAAATATATTATTCAGTTGGAAGTCGGAAGTTTACATACACTTAGGTTGGAGTCATTAAAACTTGTTTTTCAACCACTCTACACAAATATCTTGTTAACAAACTATAGTTTTGGCAAGTCGGTTAGGACATCTACTTTGTGCACGACACACGTAATTTTTCCAACAATTGTTTACAGACAGATTATTTAACTTATAATTCATTGTATCCCAATACCAGTGGGTCGAAGTTTACATACACTAAGTTGACTGTGCCTTTAAACAGCTTGGAAAATTCCAGAAAATTACGTCATGGCTTTAGAAGCTTCTGATAGGCTAATTGACATAATTTGAGTCAATTGGAGGTGTACCTGTGGATGTATTTCAAGGCCTACCTTCAAACTCAGTGCCTCTTTGCTTAACATCAAGGGAAAATCCAAAGAAATCAGCCAAGACTTCAGAAAAAAAATTGTAGACCTCCACAAGTCTGGTTCATCCTTGGGAGCAATTTCCAAACGCCTGAAGGTACCACGTTCATCTGTACAAACAATAGTACGCAAGTATAAACACCATGGGACCACGCAGCTGTCATACCGCTCAGGAATAAGACGCGTTCTGTCTCCTAGAGATGAACGTACTTTGGGGGCGAAAAGTGCAAATCAATCCCAGAACAACAGCAAAGGACCTTGTGAAGATTCTGGAGGAAACAGGTACAAATGTATCTATATCCACAGTAAAAGGAGTCCTATATCGACATAACCTGAAAGGCCGCTCAGCAATGAAGAAGCCACTGCTCCAAAACCGCCATAAAAAAGACAGACTACGGTTTGCAACTGCACATGGGGACAAAGATCGTACTTTTTTGAGAAATGTCCTCTGGTCTGATTGAACAACAATTGAACTGTTTGGCCATAATGACCATCCTTATGTTTGGAGGAAAAAGGGGGTGGCTTGCAAGCCGAAGAACAACATCCCAACCGTGAAGCACTGGGGTGGCAGCATCATGCTGTGGGGGTGCTTTGCTGCAGGAGGGACTGGTGTACTTCACAAAATAGATGGCATCATGAGGAAGGAAAATTATGTGCATATATTGAGCAACATCTCAAGACATCAGTCAGGAAGTTAAATCTTGGTCGCAAATGGGTCTTCCAAATGGACAATGACACCAAGCATACTACCAAAGTTGTGGCAAAATGGCTTAAGGACAGCAAAGTCAAGGTATTGGAGTGGCCATCACAAAGCTCTGACCTCAATCCTATAGAAAATGTGTGGGCAAAACTGAAAAAGCGTGTGTGAGCAAGGAGGCCTACAAACCTGACTCAGTTACACCAGCTCTGTCAGGAGGAATGGGCCAAAATTCACCCAACTTATTGTGGGAAGCTTGTGGAAGGCTATCCGAAACGTTTGACCCAAGTTAAACAATTTAAAGGCAATGCTACCAAATACTAATTGAGTGTATGTAAACTTCTGACCCACTGGGAATGTGATGAAAGAAATAAAAGCTCAAAAAGATAATTCTCTCTACTATTATTCTGACATTTTACATTCTTAAAATAAAGTGGTGATCCTAACTGACCTAAAACAGGGAATTCTTACTAGGATTAAATGTCAGGAATTGTGAAAAATTGAGTTTAAATGTATTTGGCTAAGTTGTATGTAAACTTCCGACTTCAACTGTATATATATATATATGTATTTCAATGTAGCGATGAATATCTCTAGCAACAACAGAATGGTTTCGAAGTCAGACCAATTCTTCAACCAACAGGATTTTAGCTAGCTTGATAAGCTTGCTAACATTGCTAATAATAAAGTTAGCTAGCTTGCTTAACATTGACAATATGGTTAAACTATCTATATTATCCACATTGATACGTTTGTAATTGTCAATAACAAATATGTTATCATCTTTTGGTTAAAAGGGTGAAAGTTCAGAGGTGAAATGTCGCAACTCGGGTAACAAAAATGTATCCTAGATTCCCATTTGTAATTGGCTTGGATGGTGATTAACCACGTTTCCATCCACAGTTTTGCAAGTAAAGTCATACCGTATAAAAATAAATTACGACAACTATGATGGAAACATGAAGTGTCATTAGAAATGTAGAAATGTCGAAAAAACAATTTGTTCATTCGTGTCTGTAAAAATTTATTATGCGACAAATTGCGGTGGAAACGATTTCTTGCGCAATTTTTTATAGAATAACCATGTCGAGGTAAATTTGCAGTCATGCAATGCTATGCTGTGGGGTCCTCCCACTACGACTTGAAAAAGCATGCAGAGTTTATTAGGCTATAAGTTATGATGAACTTCGCAGGGTGGTGAAAGTGCACAGTGATGAGCTTCATTCTCCTTTCCAATAAATAGTGTCTTAATTTAAATGCTGTGACAATGATCGGTGCTTAGCTGCCAATGAACAAATACAAATGATTTCGCTCTTATCCATCTCATCATACACTGAACAAAAATATAAAATGCAACATGTAGGGTGTTGGTCCCATGTTTCATGAGCTGAAATAAGATCCCAGAAATTTTCCATATGCACAAAAAGCTTATTTCTCTCAAATTGTGTGCACAAATTTGTTTACATCCCTGTTAGTGAGCATTTCTCCTTTGCCAAGATAATCCATCCACCTGACAGGTGTGGCATATCAAGAAGCTGATTAGACAGCATGATCATTACACAGGTGCACCTTGTGCTGAGGACAATAAAAAGCCACTCTAAAGTAGTTTTGTCACACAACACAATGCCACAGATGTCTCATGTTTTGAGGGAGCGTGCAATTTGCACGCTTACTGCAGTAATGTCCACCAGAACTGTTGCCAGAGAAGTGAATGTTAATTTCTCTACCACAAGCCACCTCCAATGTCATTTTAGAGAATTTGGCAGTACGTCCAATCGGACTCACATCCTCAGACCACGTGTATGTCTTTGTGTGGGAGAGCGGTTTGCTGATGTCAACGTTTGTGAACAGAGTGCCCCGTGGTGGTGGTGGGGTTATGGTATGGGCAGGCATAAGCTACAGGACAACGAACACAATTACATTTCATCGATGGCAATTTGAATGCACAAAAATACCGTGACGAGATCCTGAGGGCCCAGTCATGTGAAATCCATAGATTAGGGCCTAATTTATTTATTTCAATTGACTGATTTCCTCATATGAACTGTAACTCAGTAAAATCAATGAAATTGATGTTGTCCTGAGAGCATGCGCACTAAAACACGTCAAATTAGTGTGTGTTGTTTATGTGCACGACGAAATCACCCCACTGCCTTTTATACACAAGTCAGTTTGATGGAAACCTCTGGTGGGAAAATTTGCATATATTTTGTTTATGCAGATGTTCTAATATTCACATGAATCTGTCAGAAATGTGAAGGAAATCTAGCTATTGAAGTGAAATTTCCCACTCGGAACTCTTAACTTTTGATAACTCCGATAGCATGTGAACGCCCCATTGCACATATTGGAGCTAATTACACTTACATAGTATCTAACCGGCTTTGAGAAAAGGCATTGTTTAGTACTAGTTTAGTACTGCTAGCTGCTGGTAAGCTTTCTTGACTTGGACATACAGTGCCTTCGGAAAGTATTCAGACCCCTTGACTTTTTCCACATTTTGTTAGGTTATAGCCTTATTCTAAAATTAATTAAATTGTTATTTTTTCCTCATCAATCTACACACAAGGTTTTTTAGAAATGTTGGCTGAAATCACATTCATATAAGTATTCAGACCCTTTACTCAGTACTTTGTTGAAGCACCTTTGGCAGCGTTTACAGCCTCGAGTCTTCTTGGGTATGACGCTACAAGCTTGGCACTCACGTATTTGGGGAGTTTCTCCCATTCTTCTCTGCAGATCCTCTCAAGCTCTGTCAGGTTGGATAGGGAGTGTTGCTGCACAGCTATTTTCAGGACCTTCAATGCTGCAGAAATGTTTTGGTACCCTTTTCCAGATCTGTGCCTCGACACAATGGTGTCTCGGAGTTCTACGGACAATTCCTTCGACCTCATGGCTTGGTTTTTGCTCTGACATGCACTGTCAACTGTGGGACCTTGTATAGACAGGTGTGTGCCTTTCCAAATCATGTCCAATTACCACAGGTGGACTCCAATCAAGTTGTAGAAACATCTCAAGGATGATAAATGGAAACAGGATGCACCTGAGCTCAATTTCGTGTCTCATAGAAAAGGGTCTGAAAACTTATGTAAATAAGGTATTTCAGTTTTTAGTTTTTTATAAATTTGCCAAAAAATCTAAAAACCTGTTTTCGCTTTGTCATTATGGGGTATTATGTGCAGATTACTGAGGATTTTTATTTATTTAATCAATTTTAGAATAAGGCTGTAACATAACAAAATGTGGGAGAAGTCAAGGGTTCTGAATACTTTCCGAATGCAACACATGGCCTCTTTGTTTAACCAGCTAAACTGCTGCTATTAGCTCAAATGTGTTTGGAGTTACCTTTCTATCAAATAGGCTATGTCAGAGCTTACACTTCCTCTTCCTGTTATAATGTGGGGACTTTTGACCATTTTATTAATTTTTTTTATCTTTCCCCTACTGTACACTTGCAGGCTACCCCTTCATCAGAGAAGGAGCCTTGTTACGCCACTGCTGTCCCTGTGGCTGTCCTCAAACTGCCCACTCCCACACCGCAGAAAGCATTTACTCTTCAGGTATATTATTATTATTATTATTATTATTTTTATATTATATCACTCTTCAGGTAAGGCTAAACAACTCTCATGGTCATAGACAGAGTCATGATGAGTACAATGGATGCTAGTCGGATGTGCTCTCTTTCCCCCATATTGTGTGTGTGTAGGTCAGTTTGGAGCCCCCGGTGTACCTGGAGGTGGAGAATGAGGTCTCTGTGGTGTCCGGAGCCAAACTCAGCCAGCTGCGCTGTTCCATGGAGGGCAGGGAGTGGGACACGCTGCTGCCTAGCCGAGTCATCACTGCAGCGGGCAGCAGGTAAGCATGAAGGGGGAGGGGGGATCTACATGTCTAGTCCAGGAGTGTTGATGGGAGTTATCTATTGTCTTAACACTTTACACTTAACCCTTTACACATGTATAGCATGTTACTGTACAGCCACTGAGCTCTGACGTCATGTATAGCGTGTTACTGTCCAGCACTGAGCTCTGACGTCATGTATAGCATGTTACTGTACAGCCACTGAGCTCTGACCTCATGTATAGCATGTTACTGTCCAGCCACTGAGCTCTGACGTCATGTATAGCGTGTTACTGTCCAGCCACTGAGCTCTGACGTCATGTATAGCGTGTTACTGTCCAGCCACTGACCTCTGACCTCATGTATAGCGTGTTACTGTCCAGCCACTGAGCTCTGACCACATGTATAGCGTGTTACTGTCCAGCCACTGACCTCTGACGTCATTTACATTTTAGTCATTTAGAAGACTCTCTTATCCAGAGCGACTTACAGTTAGTGAGTGCATACATGTTTTCATACTGGCCCCCCGTGAGAATCGAACCCATAACCCTGGCGTTGCAAGCGCCATGCTCTACCAGCTGAGTTTTGATTTAGCCGCTTATCAGTGCCCAAATCTGCCATTTTCAACCAGTTTGCTGGTACGAGTGGAAAGGGTTAAAGCTGGAATCCGTAGCGATGAAACTGCCACATCCGTTTGTGACATTACAACAACAAAGACGTTACTTCAAACAAACACTTGTTTTTGTTTTTTTCGGACATCATTGTACGCGCGATTGAACGGTAGAGTGGATAGCTCCTCTTCTCTGTTCAACCCGAAGTCCGTGCGGAAATCTATACTGATCAAAAATATAAACGCAAACATTTCAACGATTTTACTGAGTTACACTTCATATAAGGAAATCGGTCAATTTAAATAAATTCATTAGGCCCTAATCTATGGATGTCACATGACTGGGCAGTGGCACAGTCTCTTATGGTAGAGAAATGAACATGCAACAGCTCTGGTGAACATTCCTACAGTCAGCAAGCCAATTGCCATTTCCCTCAAAACTTGAGACATCTGTGGCATTGTGTTTAGTGGCCTTTTATTGTCCCCAGCACAAAGTGCGCCTGTGTAATGATCATGCTGTTAAATCAGCTTCTTGATATACCACACCTGTTCAGTATAATTAGCATCATTAAAAAAATCCCCATAAAAAATCTGTCAATTTAAGCTCGAGATATGTTTTTTTTTTGCATTGGGTGCGTCTCAATCCACCGCATCCGCTGATGTTGCACTTCCTCATCTGCGGTGAAAAGTGACCGAGCTAGAGCGGTGTTTGTCAGACAATGAGACATCCCAAAAATCGGTCTTCTCACAAAATCGTCTGTAGCATCCGGTTCGGCCCTAAAAACTATTGGGACCCCTCTGTGGAACTTATGAGACTCTCACGGTGGTGTTCCCCCACAATAGTCTTGGGACTCATCCGAAGTCGGTACAGCCCATCTGCCAACTTCTGTCTGTAGCGTCCAAACAGTTTGGGCTATACACTAATATGACCCCTCTGTGGAAAGGTGAGACTCTCAAAAATACACGTTTTGCTCTAGGACGCCCACAGGCCTCTACCAGTTGAAACATTTATGGAAGTGTATATATAGAGACTGTTTAGTACCAAAAATAAGGGGTTAAATACATGTAAAAAATAAATAACAAATGTTTTCTGATCTCTCAGATATAGGACCTACACTTCAGAACAAACTTCCTCTAGATCTTTTGTTCTTCCATGTAGTGAATCCGTTAATCAATGCGTTTGTACGGGCTAATAGCAGTAAGGCTAAATACACATTTCTATCAAATCATTTTAAATTATTTTTTGTTATCCTTCAAGGGGTCTTAAAATGCCAAATTAAATAGCAACATGATCCTTGGTATGACCTTCTTAAAACAATTCCATACAGCTTAGTAGAACCCCGTCCCCGGCTTAGACTGGGCGTAGACTGTTTAAACCTAAAACAAATGTTTCCTGATCTCTCAGATATAGGAGAGACACTTCAGAACAAACTTCCTTTAGACTGTAAAGGGTTAATATAGTTAACAATATGTTTGGGGATGCCAGCGCTGCTGCTTCCGCTAATGCGGATCTCAGCTTTAACGTCTTTGTCCTTGACTGTGCTGTTTAGCGGGTGCAAGGTTTTGGCTTCCATTCCAACTGTCGTAATGAACAAATGTTAACGCTTTATTTCCACAGTAGTCGATAAGGTGTCTGTCTGTCTGTCTCTCCTCCTTCCCTCCCCTAGTGACGTGGTGGCAGTGGCGTGCGCCGACCGCATGTTGTCCGTGTTTTCGGCGTGCGGCCGCCGCCTACTACCCTCCATCCTGCTGTCAGCGCCCATGTCCGCCCTGCATTGCTCAGGCTTCTACGTCATGGCCTTGACCGCCTGCGCCACCCTGTCCGTCTGGTGAGAGAGAGCCCCGTGTCAGGACACACACACACACACACCCACACACACACACACACACACACACACACCCTGTATTGACATGACAAACCCTGTTGAGATGCACCGTCTAGGCTGCTGCTCCGGTGAGAAGTTTCCCCTAGGTACAGATCTAGGATCAGCTTCCCTGCCCCTATCCTGACCTTAACCATTAGTTGGGGGAAATGCAAAACTGATCCATGATCAGCATCTAGGGGGCAATTTCACCCTACACCCAGTGTGCACCAGAGGATGTGAGCGGAGTGGAGCTGGAGTGGAGCGAGGAGCGGATTTTAAAATTTTTTGCACGACGGCCATTTCGCTCCGGTACCAACTCAGCCACGAGCTCTGGTCATGCTCTGCCCAGCATTTTTCATTTCCTTCATCACTGTGCTTTTAATTAGACCTATTCTGTTGTATTTATTTAGCCTACACCACCACTAATGTGCAGAGATGTTAAAATGAGTCGACCAAGAAATAGGTTACAGCCTGTGTAATATGATGGCAAGACAACCAATGAGCCCATGCAGCAGCAACGGAGAAGTTTTAGGTTCTATATAGGCTGTTTAAAAAAAAAGAGGAGTGCTAAAGTTGTCAATCAACTGTAAGATGTGAGCGTAACAGAGCCACAGTTACAATTAAAGCATCGGATCATCAATAGATTAGAGAAAAAGCTTCTTTTTTTTTTAACACAGTGGCGGCAGGTAGATTAGTGGTTAAGAGCGTTGTGCAAGTAACCGAAAGGTCGCTGGTTCTAATCCCCGAGCCGACTAGGTGAAAAATCTGTCTGTGCCCTTGAGCAAGGCCCTTAACCCTAATTGGTCCTGTAAGTCGCTCTGGATAAGAGCGTCTGCTAAATGACTAAAATGTACAAATGTACAAAGCCTATCACCTAGGTAGGTCCACTGTGAGGGATGACTGGGATTTCCGACTGCTCAACTCCACTCACATACTCTGGGGTGGGATCCCTCCTGACTTGCCACACCTTGTATTTTAGACTAGAGACAACCCCTAGCCCCTTGACACTTTTGATTTGATAGGTGCAAACATTATACATTTTTGGTCGTTTAGCAGACGCTCTTATCCAGAGCGACTTACAGGAGCAGTTAGGGTTAAGTGCCTTGCTCAAGGGCACATCGACATATTTGTCACCTAGTCTGCTCGGGGATTCAAACCAGCGACCTTTCGGTTACTGGCTCAACGCTCTTAACTGCGAGGCTACCTACCGCCCCAATATGGTGATATCGCCGACTTGCTCTCTGATAGGCTAGGAAGAATGTATGACAGATTGCTTACACCTATCAAATCCTGTCAGATCTCCTCAAGTGTCTAGGGCTTCAGTGACTAGGGCTTCAGAGACTAGGGCTTCAGAGGCTAGGGCTTCAGAGACTAGGGCTTCAGAGGCTAGGGCTTCAGAGGCTAGGGCTTCAGAGACTAGGGCTTCAGAGACTAGGGCTTCAGAGACTAGGGCTTCAGAGGCTAGGGCTTCAGAGGCTAGGGCTTCAGAGACTAGGGCTTCAGAGGCTAGGGCTTCAGAGACTAGGGCTTCAGAGGCTAGGGCTTCAGAGGCTAGGGCTTCAGAGGCTAGGGCTTCAGAGGCTAGGGCTTCAGAGGCTAGGGCTTCAGAGGCTAGGGCTTCAGAGACTAGGGCTTCATATTCAAACAAATTTCACACATATATTATTTAGTATATGTAAAGACAAGATTAAATCAAGAATGGTGTGATGAGTGACAATATTAGCCTATCACTTGTGAATGCTATATTATCACGTGTAAATGATGCCCAGCATAAGAAACAATGCCTTTTTTTTGCGACTTTTCGAATCATAGTCGGACACCTCATGTAGCCTAGCCCATAGGCCTATATGTTTTGATAAGGTTTGTATCACAACTAAAGTGGCCAAATAACTTCTTAAAATTAAGCACATTAATCCGCTTTACAAGGGGTGTAGAGCCTAACTGGCATACATAAGCAACGTGTGAGTTTCAAGTTTGGGGAAGATAATTTTCACAATAAAAATGCACCTTAATAATAAAAGCATTACATGCATAATCGCATTTGCGGTCACTTTTGATAATGGTGTTTTCCCGCTAATGGAACATTCGCGCTTATAGCCTACTGCCATGTGCGCATTGCTGCGCTTATAATGTGAAGAAATAGCCTAATAGTTTATCAACATTTTAATCTGTTGCATCAGCCACATTGCGTAAAAAAATTTTTTTGATGCTAGTGGTTGTATTAGTTTGGGCTCTATTGTATCCCCAACTGTCCCAGACTGTTTGTAATATGTATTTCTCGCACAGAATAGAATAGGTCAACTTTTGTACTATGGGGGAAAGTAGATTGACATAGGCTAGTGCTTTTGCTGTTCGTTAGGCCTACTCATCTTGTTGGCTGACGAAAAGTAAATGTGGACAGTTCTTCCAATATCTTCAATATGCACCTCGGAATTGGATAAGGACGTGCGCAGTTGCGTCCCCAATGTGTCTGTCTTCACTTGTAGCCTGTGAAAAAGACCTGATCACTTAACGGAGAGCCATGTGAGTGAGAGGTGGTTCGGAGTGTGCAGCACTCAGGGAGAAGGGCACAACGGCCACTGGCAGCAAAAGGCATGGATTATTTGTGCATTACGGCCACAAAGGGGATGCCGCCGTGAAATTCGAGGCATTATCAAGTGCTTGTCAAATTGTGAATGCGAGACTGATGAAGTGTGTAGAGTCTGCGCAAAAAACAAAGCAGAGCTCGTGCCTTTTCAAGCAACTTTTTTCAAATCATCATTAGAGTCTTACAATGTATTTAAAAATGAAAACATATAGCCCATCGTTTGCAGAACTAAAGTTACATTAATAACTCTAAATTAACCATATAGGAGTACCTATTTCTTTGTTAACCGCTCAACACAGAATAGCCGCATGTGCGCACTCCCTCAAATCATTCGTAGAAAATATCCTTTCTATTTTATTGCTTAAAGTTATTGAGGGAGATAAGAGTCTCCAGCTTCAGAGATTTTTGCAATTCGTTCCAGTCATTGGCAGCAGAGAACTGGAAGGAATGGCGGCCAAAGGAGGTGTTGGCTTTGGGAATGACCAGAGAGATATACCTGCTGGAGCGCAGACTACGGGTGGGTGCTGCTATGGTGACCAATGAGCTAAGATAAGGCGGGGAATTGCCTAGCAGTGATTTATAGATGGCCTGGAGCCAGTGGGTTTGACGACGAACATGTAGTGAGGACCAGCCAACAAGAGCGTACAGGTCACAGTGGTGGGTAGTGTATGGGGCTTTGGAGACAAAACGGATGGCACTGTGATAGACTACATCCAATTTGCTGAGTAGAGTGTTGGAGGCTATTTTGTAAATGACATCGCCGAAGTCAAGGATCGGTAGGATAGTCAGTTTTACGAGGGCATGTTTGGCAGCATGAGTGAAGGAGGCTTTGTTGCGAAATAGGAAGCCGATTCTAGATTTAACTTTGGATTGGAGATTATTTATGTGAGTCTGGAAGTTGAGTTTACAGTCTAACCAGACACCTAGATATTTGTAGTTGTCCACATACTCTAGGTCAGACCCGTCGAGAGTGGTGATTCTAGTCGGGTGGGCGGGTGCTAGCAGCGTTCGATTGAAAAGCATGCATTTAGTTTTACTAGTGTTTAAGAGCAGTTGAAGGCTACTGAAGGATTGTTGTATGGCATTGAAGCTCGTTTGGAGGTTTGTTAACACAGTGTCCAATGAAGGGCCAGATGTATACAAAATGGTGTCGTCTGCGTAGAGGTGGATCTGAGAGTCACCAGCAGCAAGAGCGACATCATTGATATACACGGAGAAAAGTGTCGGCCCAAGAATTGAACCCTGTGGCACCCCCATAGAGACTGCCATAGGTCCAGACAACAGGCCCTCCGATTTGACACACTGAACTCTATCTGAGAAGTAGTTGGTGAACCAGGCGAGGCAGTCATTTGAGAAACCAAGGCTATTTAGTCTGCCAATAAGAATGCGGTGGTTGACAGAGTCGAAAGCCTTGGCCAGGTCGATGAAGACGGCTGCACAGTACTGTCTATTATCAATCGCGGTTATAATATCGTTTAGGACCTTGAGCGTGGCTGAAGTGCACCCGTGACCAGCTCGGAAACCGGATTGCATAGCGGAGAAGGTACGGTGGTATTCGAAATGGTCGATGATCTGTTTGTTAACTTGGCTTTCGAATACTTTCGAAAGGCAGGGCAGGATGGATATAGGTCTGTAGCAGTTTGGATCTAGAGTGTCACCCCCTTTGAAGAGGGGGATGACCGCGGCAGCTTTCCAATCTCTGGGGATCTCAGACGTTATGAAAGAGAGGTTGAACAGACTAGTAATAGGGGTTGCGACAATTTCGGCGGCTAGTTTTAGAAAGAAAGGGTCCAGATTGTCTAGCCCAGCTGATTTGTAGGGGTCCAGATTTTGCAGCGCTTTCAAAACATCAGCTGTCTGAATTTGTGTGAAGGAGAAGCGGGGGGGGCATGGGCAAGTTGCAGCAGAGGGTGCAGAGTTGGTGGCCGGGTTAGTGGTAGCCAGATGGAAAGCATGGCCAGCTGTAGCAAAATGCTTGTTGAAATTCTCGATTATTGTAGATTTATCGGTGGTGATAGTGTTTCCTAGCCTCAGTGCAGTGGGCAGCTGGGAGGAAGTGCTCTTATTCTCCATGGACTTTACAGTGTCCCAAAACTTTTTGGAGTTAGTGCTACAGGATGCAAATTTCTTTTTGAAAAAGTTAGCCTTTGCTTTCCTGACTGCTTGTGTATATTGGTTCCTAACTTCCCTGAAAAGTTGCATATCGCGGGGGCTATTTGATGCTAATGCTGTACGCCACAGGATGTTTTTGTGCTGGTCAAGGGCAGTCAAGTCTGAGGAGAACCAGGGGCTATATCGGTTCTTAGTTCTGTATTTTTTGAATGGGGCATGTTTATTTAAGATTGAGAGGAAATTACTTTTAAGGAACAACCAGGCATCCTCTACTGACGGAATGAGATCTATATCCATCCAGGATACCTGGGCCAGGTCAATTAGGAAGGCCTCCTCGCTAAAGTGTTTTAGGGAGCGTTTGACAGTGATGAGGGGTGGTCGTTTGACCGCGGACCCGTTACGGACGCAGGCAATAAGGCAGTGATCGCTGAGATCCTGGTTGAAGACAGCTGAGGTGTATTTAGAGGGTATGTTAGTCAGGATGATATCTATGAGGGTACCCATGTTTACGGATTTAGGGTTGTACCTGGTAGGGTCGTTGATAATTTGCGTGAGGTTGAGGGCATCTAGCTTGGATTGTAGGATGGCTGGGGTATTAAGCATATCCCAATTTAGGTCACCAAGCAGTACAAACTCTGAGGATAAATGGGGGGCAATCAATTCACATATGGTGTCCAGGGCACAGCTGGGGGCTGAGGGGGGTCTGTAGCAAGCGGCAACAGTGAGAGACTTATTTCTGGAAAGGTGGATTTTTAGAAGTAGAAGCTCAAACTGTTTGGGCACAGACCTGGATAGTATGATGGAGCTCTGCAGGCTATCTCTACAGTAGATTGCAACTCCACCCCCTTTGGCAGTTCTATCTAGACGGAAAATGTTATAGTTGGGGATGGAAATTTCAGAATTTTTGGTGGCCTTCCTGAGCCAGGATTCAGACACTGCTAGAACATCAGGGTTGGCAGAGTGTGCTAACGCAGTGAATAACTCAAACTTAGGAAGTAGACTTCTGATATTTATGTGCAAGAAACCAAGACTTTTGCGATTACAGAAGTCATCAAATGATAGCGCCTGGGGAGTAGGAGTGATACTGAGGGCTGCAGGGCCTGGGTTAGCCTCTACATCACCAGAGGAACAGAGGAGGACTAGAATAAGGATACGGCTAAAGGCTTTAAGAACTGGTCTTCTAGTGCGTTGGGTACATAGAATAAAGGGGGCAGATTTCCGGGTGTTATAGAAAAGATTCAGGGCATTATGTACAGACAAGGATATGGAAGGATATGAGTAAAGTGGAGGTAAACCTAAGCGTTGGGTAACAATGAAAGAGATAGTATCTCTAGAGGCATCAATTGAGTCGGTCTCTGAGTGTATGGGGGGAGGGACAAAGGAGCTATCTAAGGCAGGTTTAGCTAGGCTGGGGGGTCTACAGTGATATAGTACAATTAGAAATAACCGAAACAACAATAAACTAACCATGTTTGGGCTGAGGCTAAACATAAACAGGATGTAGTACCGTAAAAAGGAACAGTCCAGCAGATATCAGCTGTATAGCTGAGTTATCATAAGGTCCGGTGGTGAAGCACTTGTGAGTAAGAGGCCACGGATAGCGTGTGCTAGCGGGCCAGGGCTAGCAGATGGATGGAATCTTCGTGGTTAACGTCGTAACCACATCAGACGATTTCGTCGGCAGACCAGTCGTGTAGGATCGGCGGGGCTTCGTGTCAACACTAGGTGGTCCCGTCCGGTTGACAGAGAGGTAGATAGCCGGGAGATGGGCCTAGCTCAGGATGATTAGCCAGACCACAGCGTCCGTTTTGTTGTAGCCAGCTGGTAGCGATGAATCCGGAGTTAAAGGTCCAGTGATTCAGTGATTCCGGCGGAAAAACTGATATGATCTGGGTCGATAACGCGCTGTGCAGACTGGCCGAATATCCGGTGATCAATGTCCAATGATTAAAATTAATCCCGCTGGAAACAAATCCAATGTTTTGGGTGAAACACCGCTAGCTGTGGCTAATAGCAAGTAGCTAGTTCAGTAGCTAGTTCAGTTTAGTGAGTAAGAGGCCACGGATAGCGTGTGCTAGCGGGCCATGTGTGCACCAGAGGATGTGAGCGGAGTGGAGCTGGAGTGGAGCGAGGAGCGGATTTAAAAAATGTTAGCACGACGGCCATTTCGCTCTGGTACCAACTCAGCCACGAGCTCTGGTCATGCTCTGCCCAGCATTTTTCATTTCCTTCATCACTGTGCTTTTAATTAGACCTATTCTGTTGTATTTATTTAGCCTACACCACCACTAATGTGCAGAGATGTTAAAATGAGTCGACCAAGAAATAGGTTACAGCCTGTGTAATATGATGGCAAGACAACCAATGAGCCCATGCAGCAGCAACGGAGAAGTTTTAGGTTCAATATAGGCTGTTAAAAAAAAAAAAAGAGGAGTGCTAAAGTTGTCAATCAACTGTAAGATGTGAGCTTAACAGAGCCACAGTTACAATTAAAGCATCGGATCATCAATAGATTAGAGAAAAAGCTTCTTTTTTTTTTAACACAGTGGCGGCAGGTAGATTAGTGGTTAAGAGCGTTGTGCCAGTAACCGAAAGGTCGCTGGTTCTAATCCCCGAGCCGACTAGGTGAAAAATCTGTCTGTGCCCTTGAGCAAGGCCCTTAACCCTAATTGGTCCTGTAAGTCGCTTTGGATAAGAGCGTCTGCTAAATGACTAAAATGTACAAATGTACAAAGCCTATCACCTAGGTAGGTCCACTGTGAGGGATGACTGGGATTTCCGACTGCTCAACTCCACTCACATACTCTGGGGTGGGATCCCTCCTGACTTGCCACACCTTGTATTTTAGACTAGAGACAACCCCTAGCCCCTTGACACTTTTGATTTGATAGGTGCAAACATTATACATTTTTGGTCGTTTAGCAGACGCTCTTATCCAGAGCGACTTACAGGAGCAGTTAGGGTTAAGTGCATTGCTCAAGGGCACATCGACATATTTGTCACCTAGTCTGCTCGGGGATTCAAACCAGCGACCTTTCGGTTACTGGCTCAACGCTCTTTAACTGCTAGGCTACCTACCGCCCCAATATGGTGATATCGCCGACTTGCTCTCTGATAGGCTAGGAAGAATGTATGACAGATTGCTTACACCTATCAAATCCTGTCAGATCTCCTCAAGTGTCTAGGGCTTCAGAGACTAGGGCTTCAGAGACTAGGGCTTCAGAGACTAGGGCTTCAGAGACTAGGGCTTCAGAGGTTAGGGACAGGACCATACATTGAGACGTGTTCTTTCTTCTCCATCTTGTTCTTCTCTACAGGGATGTCCAAAAACAGAGTGCTGTGGTGAAGAATGAATCTTTACAGACCATTTTATCAGGTGAGAGGAGGTTTTCTCTGTTGAGGATAGCTATTTGTTTGGATTTAAGTCTATGGGCTGGTTTCCCAGACACAGATTAATCCTAGTTCTGGACTAAAAAGCATGGTCAATGGAGAATCTTTTTAGTCCAGGATTAGACTTGAAACTGCCCTTAAAAGCTTAGTTTCTCCTCCCTGTATTCATCCTCTCCTGTTTCTCCTCCCTGTATTCATCCTCTCCTGTTTCTCCTAGGCACAGAATGCACTGTGTCCCAGTCCTTACTGACACAGCAGGGGGTCCCAGTCATTGGCCTCTCCAATGGGAAGTCTTACTGCTTCAACTCCTCCTTGGAGACATGGTAAGGCCCACACACACACTTTAGAGAAATCATGAAAGTCGCACATTCAATGTACCCCCCCCCCCCCCCCCCCCCCCCAAATTATCGAATGGATTGATTGAACCAATGTTTCGGTACGATGTTGACCCCGTAGAATGCTGAAGAAGGCATATTGTGCCTAAATGTCTGGTCAATCAATCCATGACATCATTAGAAGTATATACTGTAGAGTAGTGTTCGTCAGCACCTTGCCAACTGTTCTACTGACTGTTGTAACAGGACACTCTGTACCAGTTAAACACTGGAAAATCACCAAGAAATCAGCTCAAAGTGATTGTAATGGAGGAACTCTGTTCCCCAGTAAATAGAGTAAATAAATAGAGACATATCTGTAATCAACAGAAATGATTTACAGTGCATTCAGAAAGTATTCAGACCCCTTGACTTTATCCACTTTTTGTTACGTTACAGAGTGTTATTCTAAAATTGATTAAATTGTTTCCCCCCCCCCCCCTCAGTCTACACACAATACCCCATAATGACAAAGCAAAAACAGGTTTTTAGAGATTTTTGCAAATGTATTAAAAATACTAAAACTGTCACATTTACATAAGTATTCAGACCCTTTACTCAGTACTTTGTTGAAGCACCTTTGGCAGCGATTATAGCCTTGAGTCTTCTTGGGTATGACGCTACAAGCTTGGCACACCTGTATTTGGGGAGTTTCTCCCATTCTTCTCTGCAGGTCCTCTCAAGCTCTGTCAGGTTGGATGGGGAGTGTCGCTGCACAGCTATATTCAGGTCTCTCCAGAGATTTTCGATCGGGTTCAATTCCGGGCTCTGGCTGGGCCACTCAAGGACATTCAGAGACTTGTCCCGAAGCCACTCCTGTGTTGTGTTTAGGGTCGTTGTCCTGTTGGAAGGTGAACCGTCGCGCCAGTCTGAGGTCCTGAGCGCTCTGGAGCAGGTTTTCCTCAAGGATCTCTCTGTACTTTGCACCGTTCATCTTTCCTTTGATTCTGACTAGTCTCCCAGTCCCTGCCACTGAAAAACATCCCTACAGCATGATGCTGCCACCACTAGGGCTGTTGCGGTGACCGTATTACCGCCACACCGGCGGTCATGAGTCATGAAGGCAGTCAAATTCCACGTGACCGTATAGTTACGGTAACTAGGCTTCTCCAAGCTCTGATGCTGCTGATGGTTATTAGTAGCCTACCAAACCTGCTAACTGCCTGGTACTCAGCTCTCTATTGTCCCTCTAATCACTCTGACATCAAAGCAAATGTAATCGAAAAATCTAATCAAACACTTCATGAGAGCCCATGAGCTCATGTTGCGCAACATTTCTATAGGCTTTGCAATTGCGTGAGAAAACTGAGTGATGGCCTCTATTAAAAAGAGGAGGATCCCATCAGCTTTCAATAGGCTAGGCCTACTATATTTATTTCTCAACTTTCCTAATATTATGCAAATTGCTTCTCTGTACAACAGGAGTATAGCCTACCTGGTTGGCATGAAAGTTAACCACAGGAAAAGCGTCCTCCATTCGCTATTTAAGTGCATAAATGACATGTATTTTTTCCCGCTGCCCCTGTTTCGAGTCAGGTGCATGATAATGGGCCATTCTAAATCAAAACAAATTTCACACATATATTATTTAGTATATGTAAAGACAAGATTAAATCAAGAATAGTGTGATGAGTGACAATATTAGCCTATCACTTGTGAATGCTATATTATCACGTGTAAATGATGCCCAGCATAAGAAACAATGCCATTTTTTTTGCGACTTTTCGAATCATAGTCGGACACCTCATGTAGCCTAGCCCATAGGCCTATATGTTTTGATAAGGTTTGTATCACAACTAAAGTGGCCAAATAACTTCTTAAAATTAAGCACATTAGTCCGCTTTACAAGGGGTGTAGAGCCTAACTGGCATACATAAGCAACGTGTGAGTTTCAAGTTTGGGGAAGATAATTTTCACAATAAAAATGCACCTTAATAATAAAAGCATTACATGCATAATCGCATTTGCGGTCACTTTTGATAATGGTGTTTTCCCGCTAATGGAACATTCGCGCTTATAGCCTACTGCCATGTGCGCATTGCTGCGCTTATAATGTGAAGAAATAGCCTAATAGTTTATCAACATTTTAATCTGTTGCATCAGCCACATTGCGTAAAAAAGGTTTTTTGATGCTAGTGGTTGTATTAGTTTGGGATCTATTTTATCCCCAACTGTCCCAGACTGTTTGTAATATTTATTTCTCACACAGAATAGAATAGGTCAACTTTTGTACTATGGGGGATAGTAGATTGACATAGGCTAGTGCTTTTGCTGTTCGTTAGGCCTACTCATCTTGTTGGCTGACGAAAAGTAAATGTGGACAGTTCTTCCAATATCTTCAATATGCACCTCGGAATTGGATAAGGACGTGCGCAGTTGCGTCCCCAATGTGTCTGTCTTCACTTGTAGCCTTTGAAAAAGACCTGATCACTTAACGGAGAGCCATGTGAGTGAGAGGTGATTCGGAGTGTGCAGCACTCAGGGAGAAGGGCACAACGGCCACTGGCAGCAAAAGGCATGGATTATTTGTGCATTACGGCCACAAAGGGGATGCCGCCGTGAAATTCGAGGCATTATCAAGTGCTTGTCAAATTGTGAATGCGAGACTGATGAAGTGTGTAGAGTCTGCGCAAAAAACAAAGCAGAGCTCGTGCCTTTTCAAGCAACTTTTTTCAAATCATCATTAGAGTCTTACAATGTATTTAAAAATGAAAACATATAGCCCATCGTTTGCAGAACTAAAGTTACATTAATAACTCTAAATTAACCATATAGGAGTACCTATTTCTTTGTTAACCGCTCAACACAGAATAGCCGCATGTGCGCACTCCCTGAAATCATTTGGAGAAAATATCCTTTCTATTTTATTCAGCTTTGTTCAATTGTGTTCTTCACACTATAAAATAATGCCAGGGAATTCTAAGCAAATCTTGTCTGCTAAATGAACTAGTGTAGCCCACAGCCATCTGGCATAGCCAGATGAGGACCTAACATATGGACAACTCACTATGTTATTCTGTTCTTCTGAAATGTTCATATCATGCTTCTTTAGACCTGTCTAAAATAAATAATGGATTTATTGTGAAGGTGTAGGCTATATTACATAGATTTATTAGACTTTTTCAAATATAGATGTTCCAAAGGTCTGCATCAGTGGCTTGTAGGCTATGTGTGGAAGCCAGGAGATGCTAAATGTGTTTATGTCAATTACCATTAGACCGACAGTTATTTGCTTGACTATCACCGGCTGATGAAATTTCGTGACCGCCACAGCCCTAGCCACTACCATGCTTCACCGTAGGGATGGTTCCAGGTTTCCTCCAGACGTGCCACTACCATGCTTCACCGTAGGTGATGGTGCCAGGTTTCCTCCAGACGTGCCACTACCATGCTTGACCGTAGGGATGGTGCCAGGTTTCCTCCAGACGTGCCACTACCATGCTTCACCGTAGGGATGGTGCCAGGTTTCCTCCAGACGTGCCACTACCATGCTTCACCGTAGGGATGGTTCCAGGTTTCCTCCAGACGTGCCACTACCATGCTTCACCGTAGGGATGGTGCCAGGTTTCCTCCAGACGTGCCACTACCATGCTTGACCGTAGGGATGGTGCCAGGTTTCCTCCAGACGTGCCACTACCATGCTTCACCGTAGGGATGGTGCCAGGTTTCCTCCAGACGTGCCACTACCATGCTTCATCGTAGGGATGGTGCCAGGTTTCCTCCAGACGTGCCACTACCATGCTTCACCGTAGGGATGGTACCAGGTTTCCTCCAGACGTGCCACTACCATGCTTCACCGTAGGGATGGTGCCAGGTTTCCTCCAGACGTGCCACTACCATGCTTCACCGTAGGGATGGTGCCAGGTTTCCTCCAGACGTGACGCTTGGCATTCAGGCCAAAGAGTTCAATCTTGGTTTCATCAGACCAGAGAATCTTGTTTCTCATGGTCTGAGAGTCTTTAAGTGCCTTTTGGCAAACTCCAAAACCTATTTTCGCTTTGTCTTTATGGGGTATTGTGTGTAGATTGAGGATTTTATTTTATTTAATCCATTTTAGAATAAGGCTGTAACGTAACAAAATGTGGGAAAAAGGAAGGGGTCTGAATACTTTCAGAATGCACTGTATTGTAGTTTAATATTATATCTGTTTGGGTTCTTGCGATCAATTTGCGGTGTACAAATTATTTATCGTTATGTTCCGGCCCCCCGACTATCCGCTCAAGAATAAATCATCCCGAGGCTGAATGTAGCTGGGGACCTTTTATGCAGTCAGCAAGCATACAAGTAGTGTTGAATTATTAAACCTGTGTGATCGGGTGTGTATACCATCGACAGACATCTAGGTGTACAAACAAAAACAGTGTCATGTCCACTAATCCTCTCTTGTTGTGTGTGTGTGTGTGTGTGTGTGTGTGTGTTTGTCAGGAACCTGATAGCGGATAAGCAGGACTCCCTGGTGCAGTGTGCTGACTTCAAGAACTGCATCTCCTCCCAGGATGCCCCTGTTTCCCAGGGACCCCTGGCTCTCATGCAGGGACGCAACCTCAAGTGAGTCTGACTGTTACGCTTCGGGAGGAAGTTTCCCCTAAGTACAGATCTAGAATCAACTTATCCTCCCCTCAATCCTAACCTTATCCATTAGTGGGGAAAATTGACCCAAGATCAGAGTCTAAGGAAACGTCACCCATACACAGACTGTTACACACTCACCACATTTACACATTATTGGGCCAGGGCTCAAGGTCTCAGCAGGGTCGTGTTCCAGAAACGGGTACTAAAACGGGGAGGTACTATCCAAACTCGTCCAGTAAGAAAGGCTTGTTTTCCTATTCTGTCTCAAAATGTTTTCAAACATTTTCACATGGTGTGTCATATTGACAATAATGTCTATCTGCAGACTGCAGTTACTGCAGGAACGTCTCACACCGTTATCATCGCCTCGCTACACGCTGCGCCCACTGAGGCGGCTTCCTCGTGACAGTATGGGAGGAGAAATGTGGGAAGATGTCTTCGGCTTCCGGACATTTAAAACAGACATTAAATACCACTAGTTAAGGAGTGATGTTTATTTAGATGGGCGAGCGAGAAATGACCTGTAACATTTATCATGTCAATTAGCGAGCGTTACTGTATGGAGGTGTTGTGCCGACCTGCTTCCCACTGGGCAGCTGTATCACGGTGTCTCCGGCGGTACTTAACATGGCCAAATGTTTTCCTCCAAGGTTTAGCAGCCTTCAAGACAAATGTATAATATTGGTCAACATTTGGAAGTTACGGGATACAGTCTACTCAGTGGAGAGAGCATGCACGGCAAGTTGGTGTTTCACAACACCGGTACACCGTGTCCTTCACCCCCCGCCTGCCGAGCACCGCTCTCCCGCAGTTCTGTTAATGTTACGGAGAGGGAAGTAGCTAGCTAGTGTAGTCAAGGTGAAAGCTAATGCACAGACACAGTGGTTGCTTGGTTCTGGTGATTTTTCACCCGAAAATGTTCAAGTAGGCTATGGCATTAACATTGTATCCCAGAATTATATAAACTACATTAATCCTGAACACTTTGCTAACTGTTTTCCTATTTTTCTATGTTTAATGCGGTTGTTTCCCTCTCCCAGTGCGGGTCGCCTGGCCTCCAGACTTTCGTCCACCCCCCACCACCTGCAGCATGGCATGACCCTGGCCTTCCTGGAGAACCAGCTGGCGTCGGCCCTCACCCTGCGCTCCAGCACAGAGTACCACTACTGGCTGCTCATCTATGCACGCTTCCTGGTCACTGAGGGTGAGCCAGACTGTGTCCCAAATGGCAACCTATGGACTTCTACTTATGACCAGGGCCCATAGGGGAAGTGGATGGAATGCAAGTGACCAGGGCCCATAGGGGAAGTGGATGGAATGCAAGTGACCAGGGCCCATAGGGGAAGTGGATGGAATGCAAGTGACCAGGGCCCATAGGGGAAGTGGATGGACCAGGGCCCAAAGGGGAAGTGGATGGAATGCAAGTGACCAGGGCCCATAGGGGAAGTGGATGGAATGCAAGTGACCAGGGCCCATAGGGGAAGTGGATGGAATGCAAGTGACCAGGGCCCATAGGGGAAGTGGATGGAATGCAAGTGACCAGGGCCCATAGGGGAAGTGGATGGAATGCAAGTGACCAGGGCCCATAGGGGAAGTGGATGGAATGCAAGTGACCAGGGCCCATAGGGGAAGTGGATGGAATGCAAGTGACCAGGGCCCATAGGGGAAGTGGATGGACCAGGGCCCAAAGGGGGAAGTGGATGGAATGCAAGTGACCAGGGCCCATAGGGGAAGTGGATGGAATGCAAGTGACCAGGGCCCATAGGGGAAGTGGATGGAATGCAAGTGACCAGGGCCCATAGGGGAAGTGGATGGAATGCAAGTGACCAGGGCCCAAAGGGGAAGTGGATGGAATGCAAGTGACCAGGGCCCATAGGGGAAGTGGATGGAATGCAAGTGACCAGGGCCCATAGGGGAAGTGGATGGAATGCAAGTGACCAGGGCCCATAGGGGAAGTGGATGGAATGCAAGTGACCAGGGCCCATAGGGGAAGTGGATGGAATGCAAGTGACCAGGGCCCATAGGGGAAGTGGATGGAATGCAAGTGACCAGGGCCCATAGGGGAAGTGGATGGAATGAAAGTGAATGGGGCCCATAGGGGAAGTGGATGGAATGCAAGTGACCAGGGCCCATAGGGGAAGTGGATGGAATGCAAGTGACCAGGGGCCCATAGGGGAAGTGGATGGAATGCAAGTGAATGGGGCCCATAGGGGAAGTGGATGGAATGCAAGTGACCAGGGCCCATAGGGGAAGTGGATGGAATGCAAGTGACCAGGGCCCATAGGGGAAGTGGATGGAATGCAAGTGACCAGGGCCCATAGGGGAAGTGGATGGAATGCAAGTGAATGGGGCATGTGTGTCAAAATGAACTGAAATCAACTCCATATTTGGTCATGTGATTTGGCATGTACCCGTGTCCCATTCACTTCCATTGATTGTTAGCTTGTGGTGGCCCAAGTAAGCTAAAGTTTGTAGTAGCTGAAAACTGAACCATGGATTATAGTTTCTCCTGGTCCATATGCTAATTTCAGGATGAGGAACCATCTAAGTGGTAAATTCCTGAACTTTCCTTTGAATTGACATTTTCTTGCTGCCTACCTAACCTTTTGTGTGTTCTGTCCGGCAGGCTCCGATTATCGACTACGGGAGCTCTGTAAAGACTTACTGGGACCAGTGCACAAGTCTGCCGGCAGTGCCTGGGAGCCTACAACCCTGGTAGGTACCTACAAGGCAGCATGGTACCTACAAGGCAGCATGGTACCTACAAGGCAGCATGGTACCTACAAGGCAGCATTGTACCTACAAGGCAGCATGGTACCTACAAGGCAGCATGGTACCTACAAGGCAGCATGGCTAGGACCGAATGAATCTTGTCCGCAGGCTCAATTGCTACAGCATTTAGACTGCGTTTACACAGGCTGCCCAATTCTTTTTTCTTTTTTTTTACACATTTGTCTTTTGACCAATCAGGTCAGCTCTTTTGCCAATAATTGGACAAAAGAACAGAATTGGGCTTCCTGTGTAAACACAAGCATAGAGCCTGGGAATACCGAGCCTGGGAATACCGAGCAACAGAATTGGACTTAAAAGGGGTGCGGCTAAAAGGCGAGACAGAGCCCCCTTCAGCTCTGTCTATTCTTCCTGTGAGTACTCTGACATTATTTAATGAGAGTACTCGAACAGTGAAATCATTTCAAATGCCCATCCCAAATCCCAAACAAAATAGCAATGATGATTGAGGAGAGAGCAGTGATTATGGGATTGGGTCAATCCCAGAGAGGGTCCCAAACAGCATTGGCTACAGGAGCACTACTTGTGATGGGAGGTCGCGGCTCCAGTAATGTTCCAGTAATGTGGTCCAAACAGAAGGAAACGATCATGTGGTGTGACTTGGCCTCTGACCCCCTGTCTGCCTCTCCCCAGGGCCTGCGGAAGAGGGACCTGTTGAGAGAGCTGCTGCCCGTCATAGGACAGAACCTGCGTTTCCAGAGGCTCTTCACAGAGTACCAGGACCAGCTGGAGCTGCTCGGCAACAAATAGCACTTCTCAAACTAACTCGCTTACTAACCCACTATCCTATCCAGCCCAGCTCCACCCTGGCTGCTGACAGACATTCCCTCCTCCAGCTCTGGCTCTATCCAGCCCTCCCTACGCTCTGCTCCGTCTTCACCTCTCTCCACCTGAAGGAAGCACTCACTGTCCCTGGGTGGAGAACCACTGGCACCCGGGTTGTAGAACGCTGAAAACAGCACTGAATAATGACATGAACTGATTATGCATTGTCATCTGTCAAAAAATTTCCATGAATAATTGATCGATTAATTATGTTGTTGATGACGACAATGATGATAAATATGTTGAACTGTTATGGCGAAGGAACTCAAGAGCCCCGCTGGAACTGTCAGGAGGATTCTCCTTCTGGGAAGACGGAGGAAAGCGTAGACCTGGTTTTGGATGAGTCACTAGAAGCACAACAGTCCCGTCCCCCTAAACCTCCCCGACTGACTATGGGTCTCACCAGCCCTGTCCTGTCCTCTCCTGCCCTGGGGTGCAACTATACAGGGTCATTTGGGGTCACAAGCTTAAGGCTAAATGTAATGTAAAAAGAAAAGCCACAGTAGGATAGGGGAGAGATGTTCTACCATGAATCACCCTCTTCTGAGCTTAACCCCTCTTCTCTCCTATCCTCTTTACAGAATGTGTACAGACTCTTTTCTGTTAGTCATTTTTAAATGTTTGTACAAGGCAACTTCTTTTCCATTTTCTAAAAAAAATGAGGAAAAAAAAGCATACAAAACAGGCAACACTTGTGTTTGAAACGAAATAAAACTATCAACAAATGCTTTTTGGTGAATCTTCTTGTCCATGGTTGTTTTGCCTTACGCCTGTCAGGAGCCTTAGGCCTGTCTGGAGAAATTAATGCTGATCTATTCAGGATGACATGTTTATTTTTTATTTTTAAGCTAGCTAGCTAGCATCCTCACTCTGGTCAGTAGATATGTGCCAATAAACTCTCCTCTCCTAAAGTGTGCACTTGATCACTTCCCTTCATGGATTAGGAAGGAAATGACTGGTATAAGGAATATGGTGGAAACTCCTCCTAGCCTGTCCTTCATCAATCCAATGATTTTAGATTTGTGGGAGGTAGTGAACGAGTGCACACTTCAGGGTGCAGGAAATATTATTAGGGAAAAAAAACTAGGAGTTCGCTGTTGTTCAATAGGTGACCACAGGGGGTTAGTAGAGATCCACACTGCGTGGTTCAGAGCATTGTAGTAGAGATCCACACTGCGCGGTTCAGAGCATTGTAGTAGAGATCCACACTGCGCGGTTCAGAGCATTGCCAGGGACCTCAAAGGGAAGGTCTCCATGACAAGGTCAGTCAGCACCTGTCAATATGTTCAGTGTGTGGACAGCATGCAGTTTGTGACTGGCATTCTGTAAATAATTCATGCCATTCACCCAAACATGCCCAAAATAGCAGTCTCCAGAAATTAGCCAAATACCGCTTCCCCCGAGGAATATCAATGACACACAGGCTTTGTCCCAAATTACACCCTATTCCCTGCATAGTGCACTACTTTTGACCACAGCCCTATGGGGTAGTGCACTATATAGGGAATATGATGCAATTTGGGACAGAACAACATACAGACAGAGCAACATACAGACAGAGCAATCAAACAGCAGCAACAGAGAGAATGCTAATATCTAATGCTGATTAAATGCAGGCAAAAGGGTTTCCCATCCATGCTGAAGGGTTAGTGGTGATTGTAAAATGTTTTGCAATGGAAATTAGCGTTTCTTATTGGGCAAGTTCAGGTTAGTCCCTTTCCGTTATGGCCCGTTTGCTTCGGTTTGGTTCCTAGTCAATACATCCCTTAGTATTTTATCCTTTGTTGACAGTGTCCCTTCCTTTAATGCCTTCCTCTTTTGCAGAGGGTCACAACAGGAACAGCTGGCTCAAAATAAACAGTAAACACGTTCCTTCCTTCCCAGCACCGCAGGACTAACACCTGAGAATCATCCACCCAGTAGATTAAGGGCCTTAGACCTACACACACAGCTAGTCTACTTTCTGACTTCTGAATCCTATTCACTTGAATGATTGAATCAGAAGTTTTAAAAAGACGGCCTCAGGTATCCAGATGAAGCCTCTTTCTCCCACTAACAGTCCCCTCCACTGAGGACAGACACCTCAATATTTTACCGTCTGAATAGTTCCCTCCACACAGTGGGTTTCACCTCCTTATGTACCGGGGCTGTTTAGACAAGTGTGTTCCAAATGGCACCCTATTTCCATTGTAGTGCACTACTTTAGACCAGGGCCCATAGGGGTTTGGTCAAAAGTAGTGCACTATAAAGGTAATAGGGTGCCATATAAAGGTAATAGGGTGCCATTTGGAACATAGTCCTCACTGAGATGTTCTTTCAGCACTGATGGGCAAACACAGGACCATTAACTGTGTCTGTCCATAGACACACATTTTAGAGAGAGAGGTGCGAAATGGCAGTTTGATAAGAGGCCGCGGAGAACTCTTCAAAGTACTGTAAGGACTGGAGAAAATGGAACGGAGTAGTACCTCTGCCAGGGTCCCATATGGAACGTCCCAAGGCTTTTTGTAGAGCAGAACATTCACACACCTGAGATCTCTCCCCGAGCTACTTTCACACATTTTTTTTTTCATGCAGAAAGTTTTTTTTATCTGTCATGTGTTTTTCAAACTGTAGTTGTTGAAGTCCTTGATGGACTTAAGTCAAGGGGGGGGGGCGAGTTGTGGTGCATAGCCTACGGATGTGGACTCGAGATGTTAAGAATCAATGGGGTGAAATCAGTAGAATTATGGCAGCTACGCTGAGGGAGCAAAGTGTCTTAGTTTTCCTGCCTGGAGATATATTAAACAAACAAAGTGTTGTTCAAATATATGAAGTATCTTGGCATTTCTCATTATTGGAACGTGATACTTGCTATACCCCACTGGCCCGCTGGTAGATCCAATAGAACTGACCCCCCTCTCCGTTTTAGTATGCAGGGGCGGATACCGCAGGCTCTAGATTACTGGGGAATCATTTTGACTGCTTTTCCCCATGTTGAGTGTGAGCTATCACACTGCTTGCTATCTTCAACTGCCTCAGGCACAGCGAGTTTACTTCGTACCCCATGTACTCTCAGTAATTTTACTTTAATAACCAGCCCTGCTTCCTCTTCCTAAAGAAACAGTTTGTTCAGGGCTGACTGGGGGGCCATTGACCCTCAATCGGGCAACAAATCACGTTGAGTGATAAATATGACGTTAGGTGGCCTACACACACACACACACACACACTGAGTCAAAGGGGGATATTAAAACTGTTGGCATTATGTAATGTAAACGCAATGCATTTGCATTTCATAGTAAATAAATTGTGTGCGGTTCGATGTCACGTCTTTGAGACTGGGAGGGAGCCTTACTTTATCTGGCTACACACACACACACACACACACACACACACACACACACACACACACACACACACACACACACTACTGTCTCCCTCTCTCACAAACACTCCAACACCGTACACAGAGAGCGAGCCAAACACTCTGTCATCCTTCCCCTTACACTTCCTGTAGATTGACGGGGAACAGAATTTTAACTTATGTGGTTGGTTTTGATAGGTCACCCCCAAGCATCACTATAAAATGTCAGAGCAAAGCAGAGAAAGTGAGGAGTCAGAAGGGGTCCAATGGTTCAGCCCTATACTGGTTCATTTATTGTCTGACTTGGCCTCCCTGGGGAGATCTACCGTCAAACTAAATAACAAACTGAAAGATTATAATGACGTTTGGAAACCATTCCTATCTTACATTGCCCCTAAGCAACCCCAGACAACATTTAATATTACATCTACATTTTAGTCATTTAGCAGACGCTCTTATCCAGAGCGACTTACAGTTAGTGAGTGCATACATTTTTTCATACTGGCACCTAATTAACAGCCCTATGTTAACCGGCTTATGTACTGTATTTTACAGTCCTGTCTTCTCCAGTCCTGTCTTGTCCTGTCTTGTCCTGTCCAGTCCTGTCTTGTACTTTCTTGTCCAGTCCTGTCCAGTCCAATCCTGTCTTGACCTGTCCTGTATTTTCCAGTCGAGTCCTGTCTTGTCATGTCTTGTATTTTCCAGTCCAGTCCTGTCTTGTCCTGTCTTGTATTTTCCAGTCCAGTCCTGTCTTGTCCTATCTTGTATTTTCCAGTCCAGTCCTGTGTTGTCCTGTCTTGTATTTTCCAGTCCAGTCCTGTGTTGTCCGCTACAGTATTATTTTGTCTTGTTGTGTTTTGACTCCTTCAATTGTTTTCTCCCTTTCTATTTTTGCCATTTTCAGTTCTTTGCTTTTTGGTTGTAGTTTTACCAGTAGAACTGGTGCAGTTACTAAGGTCACCAGTAACGCCACTGCAGTTACCAAGGTCACCAGTAACGCCACTGCAGTTACCAAGGTCACCAGTAACGCCAGTGCAGTTACCAAGGTCACCTGTAATGCCAGTGCAGTTACCAAGGTCACCTGTAATGCCACTGCAGTTACCAAGGTCACCTGTAATGCCACTGCAGTTACCAAGGTCACCTGTAATGCCAGTGCAGTTACCAAGGTCACCAGTAACACCAGTGCAGTTACCAAGGTCACCAGTAACACCAGTGCAGTTACCAAGGTCACCAGTAACACCAGTGCAGTTACCAAGGTCACCAGTAACACCAGTGCAGTTACCAAGGTCACCAGTAACGCCAGTGCAGTTACTAAGGTCACCAGTTAACGCCACTGCACTTACCAAGGTCACCAGTAACGCCAGTGCAGTTACCAAGGTCACCTGTAATGCCAGTGCAGTTACCAAGGTCACCAGTAACACCCGTGCAGTTACCAAGGTCACCAGTAACACCAGTGCAGTTACCAAGGTTACCAGTAATGCCAGTGCAGTTACCAAGGTCACCAGTTAACGCCACTGCACTTACCAAGGTCACCAGTAACGCCAGTGCAGTTACCAAGGTCACCAGTTAACGCCACTGCACTTACCAAGGTCACCAGTAACGCCACTGCAGTTACCAAGGTCACCAGTAATGCCAGTGCAGTTACCAAGGTCACCAGTAACGCCAGTGCAGTTACCAAGGTCACCAGTAACGCCAGTGCAGTTACCAAGGTCACCAGTAACACCAGTGCAGTTACCAAGGTCACCAGTACCGCCAGTGCAGTTACCAAGGTCACCAGTAACACCAGTGCAGTTAGCAAGGTCACCAGCTGGCATTGCCACTTCTACAAGAACAACCTCCTATGTTTATCCTGGATGCAGAATTTGTCAAACAACATAGCGCCAGTAAACAGTCGCTTCGGTGAACATTCCAAAACCCACACCAAACAGAAAGAAAACACGGATGTGTTTGAGCAAGATTATCACCACACCGGAACAAGCGGAGGCACATTGGGTGTTTGTATTTCAAAAGACCTGTAGCATCACAGACTAACAACACCTTAAATCCATTCAAAATACTCACACAATGCAACAACATGACACCTTGAGTGCGCTTGCCAGTTGTGTTGAGTATGCACAAAGAAGGGGAGAAAACTTTTTTTAAATGGAGGAGGTATTCTAGTATCTTCACTTTGACCTTTGAAAATGTCTTCTCCTTATTGTGCTACTACCTACTGTATGGCCCTGGTCCCCTGGGCCCGTATTGAAAAAGAGTCTCAGAGGAGGAGTACTGATCTACATACAATAGGTTGTAGCGCAATAAGGAGCAGACATTGTTTAATGTTCAAAGTGTAGATACTAGAATACCTCCTCCATTTAAAAAGTTTTCTCAAAACAC